ATTAAAATCTTAAAAGAGATAGTGGAGCAAGAAAGAGAAATCCACCAAGATAGCATGAAAGCCATGGATAATTTTTATCAACAAAACCCACCCAAAGAGGAGCAGAGATTAAATAACATCCTCAAAGTGTTTGAAAAAGATTATTTAAAAACTAACTGGGAAAATCAACAAAAAGACCAAAAGATTAAGGAGTTAGAAAAAACTGTTGAATTAATTGAAAAACTCGCCCAACAAACAATCCAAGAACTAGAAAGCAAAATAACTAAATTAGAGAGCAAGAAAAATCAAACAACCGAACCAAGAACTGAAATTGCTCCGAGAACTAATTTTAATAATTAACATATGAATATAAGCACAGAAATAAATATAATTAATCAAAAACAAGAAATAGTGGGTAATTTACCTTTGAATTCAGAAGTTTGGCAATCACCTTATTCGGCTCATGCTGTCTCCTTAGTTGTTCGTAGTTATTTAGCCAACCAAAGACAAGCAACTAGTAAAGTGAAAAGCCGCGGAGAAGTAAAAGGAAGCACGAGAAAAATTTATCGGCAAAAAGGAACCGGTGGTGCGCGCCATGGTTCTCGCTATGCTCCTCAATTTCGGGGCGGAGGAATATCTTTTGGACCGACTGGTCAAGAAAACTATCATTGTCAAATTAATAAAAAGGTGAGAAAAAAAGCTCTCCAATCAGTGCTCAGTAAAAAAAACGCCAAGGGAGAAATAATGGTCATTGACAAAATAAATCTTTCCGAATATAAGACCAAAGAAGCCAACAAATTCCTCACTCAACTAAAATTAAATGCGAAAAAAGTATTAATTATTTTCTCTACGCAAGAAAGTAAAAATGAAGCGACAAAAAGAGCATTTCGTAATCTGCCAAAAATAGCAATGACCAATAGCAAAATAGTCAATACTTACGCCATGGTAAACTATTCAATTTTGCTTTTTACGCAAGAAGCTTTTAGCGAAACAGAAAAGAGGTTAAAAAATAATCATGATTAAAGAACAAATAATTCAGCAGTATGTTTTAAGCAAAAAAAGTCAAGAACAACAAGAAAAAGCAAGAATTTACGCTTTTTATGTTCACCCTAAGGCTAACAAATTCCAAATTAGGCAAGCCATAGAATGATTTTACAAAGTCAAAGTAAAAAAAGTCAGAACTTGCCGGGAAAAACCAGTCCAGCAAAAAGTTAGTTTATTGCGCAAATTTCCGGGAAAATTTTATACTAAATTACGCAAAAAAGCTTTTATTCAACTAGTCTCTGGCTACAAGCTGGGATAGAGAAGAAAAGACTTATAAAAAAAACAGAAAATTTACGAACAAAATTAACTAGGCAAAAAGTAAAAATAACAAAACAGACATTCATTGTAGATTAGGTAATATGTTTTTATATGCTCAATGAAAAAATCCTCAACAAAAAATACATTTACATTTTAGGAATTTCCGGAGGACCAGACAGCATGTTTTTGTTAGATAATATGTACCGCTTAGGCTTTAATTTTGCTGTTGCTCACGTGAATTATCACAAAAGGGCAGAAAGCAAACAAGATGAGGAACTAGTGAGAAAATATTGTCAAAAATGAGATTTGCCTTTTTTCGTTTGCCAAGTGCAACCCCAAGAATATTCGTCAGGAAAAAATTTTCAAGCCTGAGCCCGAAAAAAGCGCTATAATTTTTTTCAAGAATTAGCCCAACAAAAGCAAACTAAATATATTGTCGTTGCTCATCATTTCAACGACCATTTAGAAACTTACTATTGACAAAAAGAAAGAAAATCACTAGTCGAATATTGGGGATTGGCACCAAAAACCCGTTGACAGGATAAAAAAAAAAGCATCTACATTTTGCGTCCGCTGCTTCATCTCAACAAGGAACAAATTTGCCAATATTTGCACCAAAATAATCTCTCCTACTCCCTTGATAAAACTAATTATTTACCAATTTATCAGCGCAACATTATTCGCCAAGAGTTAATTCATTTTTCAGCGAAAAAAAACCAAGAATTACGAAAAGAAATCCAACAAAAAAACCAAGAATTACGAAAAACTAAACTATGTTTGAAAAAGCAAATCAAGGAAGTTATTGTCAACTCAATTCTCGACTTAAAAAAGTGAGGAGCTAACTCTCCGGAATTAAAACTGAGATTACTTTACTACTGGATAAATAAAAGAACAAACAACACCTTTATTAATCGGAAAAAGCAAATTTGACCGGAAATCATCAAGCAATTAGCCAGCAAAAAAAAGAAAATCAACATTATTCTCAACAAAAATTACCGAATTAGCAAAAATTTTCCTTGGGCGACCTTGAAAAAAGATTAAGTTTCGCTAAACAGCAATTTAAAATTTAATTATAAGCAATCTTCCTAATTGAAAATGACCGAAAAAGAATCCTTAGAAATCCAAAAAAAGCAAAAATTTTCTTTTTGAGCCTGAATTAAAAATAATCCTTTTTACTTTATTATCATTTTTTTTTTTTTAATTTGGCTTTTTCTAAGTTGAGTGTGGCAAGATAATCGGAAATTTTTTCGTTTTGTCAAAAAAGGCGACCAAATAATAATCACTGGCTTAGAAGCAAAAGATTACCGAAATATTGACCTTGACCATCCAGTTGTGTTTACTCCTAAACAACTTGTCGGTAATGAATATTCTTTGAAAGCCAAAAATGCGAGCTTGTGGGAAAAATTTCGCAGCACTAGTTATTCCACCATTGATAATGAAATTAAGCCCGGAGAAATCGACCAAGCCCAAAAAGAGAAAAAAATAACCATTGACTGAGAAGGGAAAGAATTCCCCACTAAATTAACTATTCCGGAGGGAAACAACTGGCTTCATCCTCCCAACAAGAAATTTATCCCTGACCTCCTGGGAAAAGTGGTGGTGGCGCTTTTGGTGCTTTCAATCATTGACCTTCTTTTAGGCGGACAGCTAATCGGAAGAATTTTTTCTGGTTCCCGAAAACGGAGAATGGACGTGGCCGATGATTCGGGGGTTAGATTCAAAGACATTGGGGGTTTAGAGGAGGCCAAAGAAGAATTACAAGAGATTATTACCTATTTTCGTAATCCCCAAATTTTTTGGAAACAAGGAGCCCAAATCCCCAAGGGCATTCTTTTAGTCGGACCACCAGGCAACGGAAAAACCCTTTTGGCGAAAGCTTTGGCTGGCGAGTGTAAATTACCTTTTATTTACCGCTCGGCTCCCGAATTCGAAAAAGGAATTGTCGGTTGGGGAGCTGCTGATATTCGCAATACTTTTGCCCTGGCCCGAAAATACGCCCAAGAAAAAGGTGGCTGTTTTATTTTTGTGGACGAAATCGACGCTATTGCTGGCAAGCGTCACCAATCAATTCATTCTCACCACGAAACCTTAAATCAACTGCTTAATGAATTAGATGGCTTTTCGCCCCGCGAGAACGTGATTTTTTTGGCAGCGACTAACTCCTTAAACACGCTTGACCCGGCTCTTTTACGCCCGGGTCGGTTTGACCGGCATATTTATATCCCTTTACCCAATTTCAAAGAGCGCCAAGCAATTATTCGTTTATACGCCAGAAAAAAACAATTTACTAGTGACGTTGACTGGAAAGAAATAGCGGCTATGACCAAGGGTATGAGTAGTGCCCAAATTGCCAACATGTTTAACGAAGCCACGATTTTAACCGTGCGCTATCAACAAAAAGCGATTAGCCAGGCCATTCTTTTAGAAGCTTTTGACCGCGTTTTAATGGGCCCGGCTTTAAAAAGCCAAGTTTTGACCCCGGAAAGCAAAAAATTAGTGGCTTATCACGAAGCCGGTCACGCAGTTGTCGGATTAGTGCTCCCGGAATTGGTTGTTCGCAAAATCACCATTATTCCCCGCTGAACGGCTGGCGGTTATACTTGGATTGACTTAGGGGACAAGGAAGACGATATTTTAGTCAATAAGCAAGAAATCTTAGCCCAAATTATGTCACTTCTCGGTGGTCGGATTAGCGAAGAATTAGTTTTTGGCACTAGTTACGTTACTACTGGCAATTATTCTGATTACAAAAGAGTTTCCGTATTGGCCCGGGATTTAATTTTGCGTTATAGTATGTCCGACTTAGGAATAATTGCTAGCCAAGATTCTCCTTTCTTTGGCGAAGAAAGTTTAAATGAATTATCGGAAACTGCCCGGCAAAAATTTGAAGACGAAAGGTGAAAAATTCTCAATGAATGTCAGCAAAAGGTTCGGCGAATTTTACAAGAAAAAAGAAAAGTTTTGGATTTATTAGCCCAAGCCTTGCTCGAAAAAAATACTCTCCACCGCGAAGAAATTTACTACATTTTCACTAATGAAAGCCAGCCGGGGCAAGTATTATTGGAATAAATTTAGATAAATTGGAGAAAAAATGAAAGAAAAAAAAAAAGTAGAAGTTCCCGTTGAAGAATTACCCGAAAAAAAAGATTACCAAGTTTGAAAAAGGTACGGGGACATTATTCGTTCTTTACACCGTGACACCAAAAAGAAAAAAGTTAGAAAGCGAGAAAAAGTTCGTAGTTTTTTGGTGAAAATTGGGGTCGTTTTTTTTGCCGCTTTTTTTACTACCGCGGCGTTTACTCTTTTGCTGAAACCGAACGGTATTTATAATAGTGGCTTAAATGGTTTTTTACAAGCTATTTTCAACCTTTTGGCTGGCTATAGCGAAAAAGTGCGGGCTAATAACACTCATTTTCTTTTTGCCACCGCTTTTTTAATCAACTTACTCATTATTTTTATTTTGCGGCGTTTCTTTCGGGGAAAACTGGATATGTTATCAACCGCTCTTTTTTACTCCTTGGCCCAACTCTTTTGGAGTTGAACCTTTGATAAACTCAACTTAGGCAATTACGTATTCAATAATTTTTCTCCCGAAAATTGAGGCTTTGGCCGGGAACAATTAGGGTTTACTTTACCTTTTTATATTGCTATTGCCCTTTTAGCCGCTTTAATTCACACTTATGGTTATAGTTTGATTTTTAAAGCCCGAGCCACTCCCGGTGGCCTAGAAATTATTACGGCTCATCTTTCGAGCAAAAAAAAAACGAAGGTTTCCCTCAGCACCCTCTTTAAGTTTTTTGGCTTTTTGATTATTTTCTTGGTTACCGTGGTTAGTTTTCTCTGAATTGACGACAATCCAAGGGTAAAAAAGGCCGAATTGAAAACTTATCTTTGAGAAAAGAACAAGGCTGCTGAGCAGAAATTTCTCAACGAAGAAGAGGATTTAGACCAAGTTCTCCAAAAATGAAAAGACAATTATCAAAAAAAAAAAGTTTTCGAGAAAAAAAACTCCGAATTGGAAAAAATTATCAGCCAAGAGGAAAATCTAGCAATCAAGCAAGAAAAAGAAAAGCAAATTAGGCAAAATCAGCAGCAAATTATCGCCCTCCAAAAAGAAAATTCTCCGCTTACTACTCATTTAAAAAGCAAAACTGGTAGCGAGTATTTAGAAGATTATCCAGCGGAGGAAATTGAAATGTATTTAATGAACAAAGAGGAATTAAAAAGCACCCTCGAAAAAGAAATTGCTAAAAGAGAAAAAGAGGCTGTTTCGCCAGAAAACAAAAAAGAGAAAAAATACTTAATCTACCTCAAAAGGCGCCAAGAAAGAACCGAAAAAGAATTTTACGAAAAAAACCCAGCCGGCTATTTTAAAGGCTATGTAAAATACGCTACAAACAACGAAAAACTCTGAGCTACTTTGGTTTATATTTTCCTTTCGGCTTTTTTGATTAGCCAAATGTTCCCCAAAGATATTAAGGTGATTTTAAACGTACAAACGGATTCTCGCGATAAATTAGACAAAATTCTAGTTTTATTAAGAGAATTCAAACCAGTTTATTACGTTAGCCATCTTTACGAACAAAAAACCAACGAAGAAAAAACTATTTATATAGTTAGCTGCTCACTTACTAAATGAGGATATTATCTTCTTCAGCAAGATTTGCGAGCCCTCAAAGTAATCTTTTTTATTAGTGAAGTTAACTAAAAAACTAACCATGAAAAAAAATAAAATTGAAAAAATTATCCAAAGTGTTCAAGAAACTCCCCTTTTCCGGCAAGCTTTTACCCATAGTTCTTTTATTAACGAAAACAAAGAAGAAAAAATCGCCGATTACGAAACTTTGGAATTTTTGGGCGACAGCATTTTGGATATGTATGTTTGCCTCTATATTTACCGGAATTATCCTCATTATTCAGAAGGAGAAATGAGTAAATTAAAACAGTTTATGGTACAACAAAAAACCTTAGCAGAGTTAAGCCAAGAAACTAAACTTTTTCAATTTTTAAAACTAGGAGCAGGAGAAGAAAAGAGCAAAGGTAAGGAAAAAACAAATATTTTAGCCGATATTTTTGAATCTTTCGTGGCGGCTTTATATTTAGAAAAAGGAGCCAAAATTGTCGAAAGGTTTCTCGATTTAACTCTTTTTGTTTGAATTAAAGGCAGAGAAGATGAAATATGAGATTATAAAACGCAACTACAAGAATTTTGCCAAGCCCAAAATAATCTTTTAACTTATTCAGTGGTTAAATGAAGAAATCAAGCTGAAAGCCAGGAGTTCATTGTTGAAGTTCGGGACAGTTTAGGCAAAATTCGAGCCCAAGGACAAGGAAAAAGCAAAAAATCGGCTGAACAAGAGGCTGCTCGCCAGGCTTTGGAAAAAATCGGCAATTTAAAAAGTTAATTAAAAATCCTTATATATGAAACTTCGGTTAGCAAATATTCAAGAGGGCGAATGAGATTGATTTCTCCGGTGACGCTGGGTAATTTTAATTGGCTTTTTGGCTGCCGCCAGTTTTTTAATCTTAATAGTAATTATTATTCTCAATAAAGGAAAAGTTTAAACGATTTTAATATATAAATAACTCTCTAATTTTTTTTAGTGAAAAGTCTAATCATTTGACATTTTTACTTTTCGCAAGAGTAAGTGAATTTTAAGCTGGTTTAGTTGAAACTTCTTGCCAATAAGGAAAAAAACTATTTCAAAAGTTTTGAATGAATTCGAGATAAGAATTTTCCCCTTGGCTAATTTTGTCTAATTCAGCCTCTAAACTAGCAGTATATTTTTCGTTAATTAAAGAAGCAAAATTCTTCTGTAATCACTCGTTTACTTTAATACCTAACTCTTTCGGAATAAAATGTTTCTGTTTTTCATTATTGTAATCAACGTAGCCGCGACTAAGCAAAAGTCGACTAAATGTATTATAAGTAGAGGGGCGACCAATCCCTAATCTTTCTAGTTCCTGGACTAAACTGCCTTCATTATAACGCTGAGGCTTATTTTCCAAGTATTCTTTTACTTCCATTTTGTTTACTTCTAAGGATTGCAAATCAACTTCGGCTAAGAAAGAAGCCTTTTTAATTTTATAATTAGGCAAATAATAATCAGGGTTAAGAATGAAAAATCCGGCAAAAGTAAGCACATTTTCGTTGAGGGTAAAGTAATAGCCATTGTTAACAAAAGTATACGTAGTTTTTTCGGCTTGGGCTGAACTCATTAAACTGGCTAAGGTGTGCCGATAAATTAGTTTATACAGGGCAAATTGTTCCGGCGTTAAACTATCTTTTATTTCTTCGGGATGTTGCGAAAAGTAAGTGGGACGAATGGCTTCGTGGGCGTCTTGGACATTTAAACTTTCTTTTTTTTGTTGGTGTTGGGGAGAAAATTGACAATATTCTTTCCCTCATTGCTTTTGAACATATTGATAAGTTTGTTCTATAAATTGTTTGTTTAAGCGGCAAGAATCAGTGCGGGGATAAGTAATTAATCCCGTTTGTTTATTTTTACTTTTTAAATAAACTCCTTCGTATAATTGCTGAGCTAATTTAGTAGTTTGGGCAATGGAAAAACCTAATTGAGATTTTGCTTCGTACAGCAAGAGAGAAGTAGTAAAAGGAGCCTTGGGAATGATATATCTTTTTTCTTTTTCTTCCTTGATGAGAGAAAAAATAGGACCTAATTGCGCCTTAACCTTTTCTGCTTCTTCTTTATTAGGATAAGTCACTAATTTTCCCTTTTCGCCTTTTTGCCTTAAAGCGTATTTTTCCCCTTGGGTCTCGTAAATTCCTTGGAGAATATATTCTTTGTTTTTTTCGTATTCTTGAATGGCAATTTCCCGGTCAACAATTAATTTTAAAACGACTGATTGGACTCGGCCGGCTGACAAAGCTTGACGGATTTTTTTTTGTAAAAGGGGACTGAGACAAAAGCCAATCATTCGGTCTAAAACTTGTCTAGCATTTTGGGCTTCAACTAATTTTTGGTTAAGTTCTGAGAGATTAGCCAAAGATTGGCGGATGCTTTGTTGAGTAATTTCGTAAAAAAGTAAACGCTTGTATTGTTGCGGTTTCAATTGAAGTAAATCGACCACTGCTTTGGCAATTGCTTCGCCCTCACGGTCTGGGTCAGTGGCTAAAAGAATTAAACTTGGCGGATTTTTTTTTAAGTAATTTTGTCAAAATTCAACTTTTTTTTTTTTTTCCGGAAGTAAGCCGTACCGCGGGGTAAAATCAAATTTTTTTAAATCTTTTCCTAAACCTAAGTTATTATAACCATCTTTTTTTAATTCGGTTAAATGCCCACTAGTTGCGAAGATTTCGTAATCATTCCCTAAAAAAGTTTTGATCGTCTCTTGTTTGGTAAAAGATTCCAGAAAAATCAAATACTTAGCCATAAAGTTTTTTTACTCGCATTTCTGTTTGTCTATATAAAAAAGCAAAATCTCCGAACCGCGGGAGCAAATAAATTGAAAGGAAAGACAAAAATAGTGCCAAGAAATATTAAAAAAAATCACTAATTACTAATTTAAAAGCCAAAATAGCCAAATTAAAAGAAATAAAAACTAAAAGCAGATAAAATTCTTTATAAAACGAATGAACGAAACCAAAGACCTTACTAGTTACCTTAAACATTATGGCTTTTTCTTTCCCAATGCGGAAATTTACCAAGGATTAGCGAAATCTTGGGATTGTGGACCAAATGGTGCCGAATTGAAAAGGAAATTAAAAGATTTATGGTGAAAATTCTTTATTACTTCGCAACCGCAGAATGTCAGTTCAGACAGTTTAATTCTTACTCACCCGCAAGTATTAGCGGCTTCAGGGCATTTAAAAAACTTTTATGATTGATTAATTGAATGTCTAAATTGCCAAAAAAGGTACCGCTTAGATAATTTAATCTCTGCTGAGGAATTTGCTTCCTTTTTGACCCAAGAAGATAAACAAAAATTCACCATTTTGCAAAATTGTCCATCCTGTGGCCAAAATAAATTTACGAAACCACGACAATTTAATCTGCTTTTGAGTAGTGATTTACAAATAACCAACCAAGAAAAAAAAAATCTCGTCTATTTGCGTCCGGAAACCTGCCAAGGAATATTCATTAATTTTGCGGCTATTCAAAGAAGCACCCGCAAAAAATTGCCTTTTGGCGTGGGACAAATTGGAAAATCTTTTCGCAACGAAATCACGCTTCACCACGGCATTTTTCGCACCCGAGAATTCGAGCAAATGGAGTTAGAGTTTTTTTGCTCTCCCGAAGAAAGGGAAAAATGGTGAGAATACTGAAACCAAAAAGCCTGGGTTTTTCTTAACAGATTTGTCGGCAATAAAGAAAAAATTAAGCAAGTAAAATTAGCCCACGACGAATTGCCGCACTACGCTCAAAAAACTACTGACCTGTATTTCCAGTATCATTTTGGTTGAGGAGAATTATGTAGCCTTAGCGACCGCGGAGATTACGATTTAAAAAATCACCACCAACAAACGGGACAAGATTGAACAGGAGAAAAAGCAATCCCCCAAGTCATTGAAGTATCTTTTGGCGTGGAAAGATTAATGTTAGCTCTTTTGACCGACGGTTATCAAAAAGAAACGGTGAAAGCCCAAGGAGAAGAGAAAGAAAGAGAATTATTAAAATTACATCCTTTGTTGGCTCCTTATTTTGTAGCAATTATTCCTTTAAGTAAACAATTACAAGAAAGAGCCCGGCAAATCTACCAAGAATTATTAACCGAAACTGATTTTTCAACCACTTACGAAGAAGCTAGTAGCATTGGTAAAGCTTACCGCCGGCAAGACGCCATTGGTACTTATTATTGCCTGACCGTGGACTTTCAAACCTTAGAAGACGGAACCATTACTGTCCGGGAAAGAGATAGTTTAAAGCAAATTCGCCTTCCCCAGCAGGGAATAGTCCAGTTTCTCCACCAAGAATACCAAAAATCTTGCCGAGAGTTCGTAAAAATTTAAATAAATATGAAGAAAATTTTTAAGTGATTAGTTGGTATTTTGTTATTAGCCGGTTTAGTCGGCGGTGGTTATCTTATTTATCGTGGAAAAACTAAACCCACGCCGCAACAAGCCGAACAGAACGAAAAGCAAAAAGACCAACTTAGAAGGCAAATTCAATTAATCAAAGAAGAAATAAATTCCTGCCGAATTAAACTGGAAAAGTCCAAAAACGGCGAAGAAGTTAATTGGGGCAAAAGCATTGATGAACGGCCGAAAGAAATTAAATTTACTCATGTTGATAAAGAAACAGAACAACTCCAAGCCGAAGCAAACCGAGTTTGGAACGAATATTGTGATTTAATCAACAAAGAAATCAATCCGTGAATTAAGGAAAAAAAACAAGAAGCTGCGCAAGGAAATAGCAAAATAAAAAAATTATGAGAACAGCAAAGAAACGGTCAGTGGGAAATATTAACTAACGCTCTCGATAAAGACCCCAAAGTTAAAGAACGCTTTGACAATTTGATAAAGACTTTTTACCGCCGAGTTATCGAAAAAAAAGGATTACGTTATCCGGAAGTGGACTTTCGCGGATTTGGACATTTTTACATCACAAGAGCAGATTTGCTAAATAATTCAGTAGAAATGGGGCATACTGGTCCGCCAGCGGAAGAACCAACAGAATATATTGGCGGAAAAATAGTTAATTTACCCATGGAGATTAATCTTAACCAAGTATATTTACTTAATAACGGAAAAATTGGTATGGATGAACTTATTATTAAATTTGCCGAGAACCCTGACGGCAGTGCGAGTTATACCCCCCTAGACATTAGTTTTGCTAAATTAACGAACACTATTGCCCACGAATTGGCCCACGCTGTTCAAAGTGTCCTAAATTTATATGATAGCATTATAATTGATACAGGACAAGAAAAAAAATCAGAAATACGAAGCCAATGCGAAAGCAGTGGACTTAGAGACAGCAAGGGCAACCTTCTTTATCCGCAATGAGCCGCTGAACATACCAGACTGACCGAAGAAATTGAACAAATGATGCTTAACTCTCCGGAATATAAAGAATTTGAAGCCTGGTGGAAAGCTAAAAATTAGTTATGGAGCAAATTGGTAATTATCGAAGTTCAATTCAACTGCTTATTAATCTGTTTTTTTGTGGTTTGTATTCTAATTTGCTTAACCGCCTTAAAGCAAGCAAAGGATTAATTTGTCGCTAAATGTCCGCCAAGAAAGCAAAAAAATTTGTCGCAATTCCATAATGTCCTGGTAGCTCAGCGGTAGAGCGTCCGGCTTTTAACCGGTAGGTCGAAGGTTCGATTCCTTTCCAGGACACCAAAAAGTTAATTAAAAAGAATTAAGCCAGGTTAATTTTGCTGAATTTATTGATTAAACTGCTACTTTTCCTTTGATAACTGGTCAAGGATGATAATTTTTTAAAGCAATATCTTCAATATTAAAGCCAAAAAGAGAAGTAATTTGGGGATTTAATTCTAGTCGGGGCAAAGTTTTTGGTTGACGAACCAGTTGAATTTGAATTTGCTCCAAATGGTTGAGGTAAAGATGAGTATCACCAATCACGTGGATAAATTTTCCTAATTGATAACCACAAACTTGCGCTAGCATTGTAGTTAATAAGGAATAAGAAGCAATATTAAAAGGAACACCTAAAAACAGGTCGCCGCTTCTTTGGTAAAGAAGGCAAGATAAATGATAATCAGGAGAAACTTCAAATTGACAAAGCAAATGACAAGGTGGCAAAGCCATTTGTGCTAATTCCGCCGGATTTCAAGCCGCAAGAATATGCCGACGAGAGAAAGGATTAATTTTTAAATTTTCGGTTAAGAATTTTAATTGGTCTATTCCGTTAAAATTTCGTCATTGCTTGCCGTAAATTGGACCTAAATCGCCGTATTTTTGGGCGAATATTTGGTCTTGCTTAACTTTGGCAACGAATTCTGCGAGGCTTTCCCCCTGACAGTCATTAGTTTTTTTATACCTTTCAAAAGCTCACTCATTTCAAATATGAACGTCATTATCTACTAAATATTTAATATTTGTATCTCCCTTAACAAATCATAATAGTTCGTGGACTATTAAGCGAAAAGAAATTTTTTTGGTGGTTAAAAGCGGAAATCCCTTTTTTAAGTCAAATTCCATTTTGGCGCCGAAATAGGAAATAGTGCCAGTTCCGGTGCGGTCTTTTTTTTTTTGTCCTTTTTCGAGAACTAAGCGGCAGACTCGCAAATATTCTTCATTCATTTATATGGTTATTTTTGGGATTTTTTTCGCTGTTTTCGTTATTGCAAGATATTTTGCCCCCTGATTAATAATCATTAAACTGGACCACGATTTATTGCCTATAAACTATCCACTAATTAATTCATTTTGTTAGCAAAAAATAACTAAAGTTTGGGGTAAAATTAATTATATCGCGGGGTAGAGTAGTGGTCCAACTCGGCGGGCTCATAATCCGCAGATCGCAGGTTCAAATCCTGCCCCCGCTACCAAGGCCCAAATGGCGGAATGGTAGACGCATGGGACTTAAGATCCCACGGAGTTATCCGTGCCGGTTCAAGTCCGGCTTTGGGTACCAGTTTGATAACACTTTATTAACTCATTTTGCTCACTTTTTAAGGGTTGTTGCAAATTCGTGAACTCAATAAAAATATTTACAAAAGCACAAAATATAAAATATGAATGAGCAACAACCAGAAAGTTTAAATGAAGCACCAATAAACCAAACTAACATTAAACAAATAATCAAAGATTATAAACTTGTCTTTCCTTGCCCTCATTGCGAAAAAATGATTAATGACGATCATTTTAGCAAAGAACACCGGGTGCTTAATTATATCAGCGAGCAAGTAAGAGAACTAATGGAAAAACATTTTCTTTCTCGGGAAAGCGAATACCGAAAAAAATGATTACAAGAACTAGAAGACAACCGCACTTACGAAAATCTTTCGGCAGTAAAGGAATTAAAAAAAAATTTAGAAGAACAAACGAAAAAAATTGCCGAATTACAATCTTCTGAGTATATTGAGAATTTAGAGAGAGTGAAAAATTTGGCAGCGGAAATTCAAGAATTGCGGCAGCAAAATCAGAACTTTTTATTAGCCCAAAATCGACCCATTAAACGCAAAGGAGAATTATTTGAACAATACGTAGCTGAGGAATTGAGCCGTGTTTTTGATGACAAGGATAAAATCAGCAAATTAACTCAGTTAGGAAAAAAAGCCGACTTTCTCCAAGAAGTATTGACCGAAATTGAACCACGAAAAGTTGCTGGTCGAATAGTTTACGAAACCAAAGACACCGAAAAATGAGAAAATGATTGAGTAAACAAATTAGAAAACGACATGGCAAAATTAAAAGCTGATTTTGGAATTATTATTGCTACTTGTGAAAATGGCAAACCTTTACGCTGCCTTGACCCCCGGAAAAAAATCTACGTCAGCGACGAAACTAATTTTATCTATATTGCCAAAATCATGCGTGATTCTCTAATTCAAAAGCATAATTTGCTGGAAAACGTTAACTCCGATAAAGAAAAGCGACTCAAAAATTTAGATGAATGAATAAGTGATACCTTGCCTCAATATTTTTTGCGTTTAGAAAAAGAATTGGTTGATTTAAACAAAAATGCTAGTAGCATTAGCCGGGCGGCCGAAAGTATTAAAAATTTAGAAATTAATATTCGTAAAATAATCTTAGAAGAAGTAAGAACAGAGTTAAGCAATCTTTAAAAATTCTAAAACTACTGCCTTTTTTTCTTGTTTTGAATTAAAAATAATAAGCTACGTTAACCGAAGCAGGGTTTTTCAACCTGGGTTGGTTTTTCTTTAGCCGTTGAGGTTCGTGCACGGCAAACTGCCCGTTTTTTTTGTTTCTGTTTTCATATTTATTTGGTATATAGATAAAATGGACAGGCATAAAAATTTTATATATGTTTGGTCATTGGTGAAAGAAAGTTGTTTTGCGAAAATTTGCCCGCTTACAAAAAGAAGTTTTGGCTCGCCAAAAAAAAACTAGTCTTTTAACCGAGGAAGAACTACAAAAAAAAGCCGCGGTTCTACGGGAAAAAATTCGTAAAAGCAGAGATTTAGACAAGCACCTAGTGCCAGTTTTTGCCCTAGTGAGAGAAATTATTCACCGGAAAATTGGTCTCTTGCTTTTTCCTACTCAAGTTTTCGGCGGAATTGTGCTCCATCACGGCAACATTGCCCAAATGAACACCGGGGAAGGAAAAACTCTCACTGCCCTTTTGCCGATTTGCTTAAATGCTTTATCGGGCAAACCGGTATATGTAATTACAGTTAACGAATATTTAGCTAATCGAGATTGAATTTTAGGCAAACCAATTTTTGATTTTTTTGGTCTTACTTCGGGATTTAATTCGAATGCTCACAGTTCCGAAGAAAAAAAAGAACTTTATGCCAAATGCACAATTATTTATACTACTGGCAGCGAATTAGGGTTTGATTACTTAAGAAATAATTTAGTGACTAGAATTGAAGATAAAAATAACTTACGTTTTTCTTACGCTTTGCTGGACGAAGTAGACTCTATTTTAATTGATGAATCCCAAAACCCTTTGATTATTTCGCAAAGATGGGGAGGTGACGAATTAGCAGTTAAGGAAAAGCACCAAAAAGTTACCTATCTGGCTGAGCAACTGATCAAAAAAGTAGATTACAAATTTGATGACAAAAAAAAAGAACTCTGGCTAACTAAAAAAGGCGTCAAAAAAGCCGAAGAATTTTACGGAATTGATAACCTTTTTTCTTTTAAGCATCACGAAATTAATTTTTTGCTACATAATGCCCTGAAAGCGAAGCACTTTTATCAGAATGGGGTAGAATATATTGTGGACTACGAAAGAAAAAAAATTGTCATTATCGATGCTTTAACCGGTCGGCTAGTACCTAACCGGATTTATAGTGCTGGTATCCAGCAAGCAGTAGAAAGCAAAGAAAGGCTTCCCATTAGTCCACCGAGCAAGTCTACCGCGGTGATTACTTACCAGAATTTTTTTCGCCTTTTTGATAAAATGGCGGGAATGACCGGAACTGCTATGACCGAAGCTGAGGAATTTCGGCAAGTTTACGGCATGGAAGTAATTGCCATTCGCCCTTACAAAAAGCTAGTCCGCAAGGACCGTGATGATTTAATTTTTTTAGACAAAAGAAGTAAATACCAAGCAATTATCCAACGAATTAAAAAAAACGAACAAACTACCAAGCGACCAATTTTAGTGGGTTCTCCCAGCGTGGATGTTTCTGAGCAAATTTCGGTCTTACTCACTAAAGAAGGAACTTTCCATTATAAATTAAACGCCGTTAATCACCAAGAAGAAGCCCAAATCATTAAGCGAGCAGGGGAATTAGGAGCGATTACTATCTCTACTAATATGGCCGGGCGAGGAACCGATATTGTTTTAACCGAAGAAAGTCGCCAAGCCGGTGGTTTATTAGTGATTGGGGTAGAACGAAATTTTAGTCGCCGAATCGACAACCAATTGCGTGGACGAGCCGGAAGGCAGGGTGACCCCGGCGAAAGTCAATTTTACATCTCTTTGGAAGACGAAATAATTAAAAACTACGAGGTAAGAGAACAAATTACCAGAATTTTCCAGAGTAGTAACCTACGGGAACTTTTCCGTAAACCTTTAAGTGGTAAATGGTTTAATATGATGGTTGCCGAACCCCAAGAAATGCTCCGTAATGCCCAGGCTTCTGGACGTCAATATACTTTAAACTACGACCTTTTAATTAACCATCAGCGGCAAATAATTTACAATTATCGGCAAAAGATACTCGCTAGTTCCAATATTTTTGTTCTGATTTTGCGAAAAAAACCAAGCACCAATAATTTAGAATCACAGCAATATTTAAAATCGCAATTAGTGCGAAAAATCGACTTTGCTTGGGCTAATTATTTGGAAAGTTTGGAAAAAGTTCGCCAATTGGTGCACGTGAGACATTGATTTCCCCAAGAGGTCCAAGAAGCCTTTTTTTGGGAAACTTCGGAACTTTTTCGGATTACTCGTGGTTATATCCACAAAAAAATGCGGGAAATTCTGCTAGGCAACTTACCTAAACCTCCTGTGAATTAGTTAAGTATAGCCATGAGGGGTATAAATCCTAATAAATAGCGAAAGACCAAGAACTCACCCCGAGAAATCAACCTTAAATAAATAATTAAAAATAAGTATAAGTTAATGACAACACCGTTAGAACCCAAAAATCAAAAAAAAATTAATTGTTTGCTAAGCATTATCCAAAAAACTCAGCAAATTTTAAAAGAAAATAACCAAAAAATTGCGGCACAAAAACTGTTGCAAGAAATTGAGCAAAAATACCAAATTAAAGAGTCGGAGTCTGAGCCAAAACCAGAAATTGACCAGGTAAAGTGGCTAGTTAGCCAAAGAAAAGAAATTCTCGAAATTATTGATTTTTTGGCTAAGTTACTGCCTTTAAAATCCAAAACCTTGCTTCAAGACATCCAAGAAACTAAAAAGACGAGCAAAGAATTATCATCCGGAGAAAAATATTACAGCATTTTAAGCAAGATTCAATATATTTTTCCTAAACCCCACGCCATTGCTTATACCACGACTGCTTGAAGAACTGCTTATTACAAAGTTTATCATCCCCAAGAATTTTATTCTGTGCTTTTGACTTATCACGTGACAGTCCACGATATTTGGTTGATGACCTTTGACCCCGCCAGCATTAATTTTCGTTTAGAAAAACTTTTAGAAACTATTGGGAAAGCGAAAAATAGTGAAAAGGAATTGCTTTCAATAATTAAAGTGCTACAAGAATTAATTAAAGGAATCAACGGAAACAAAGCCAAAAAAAATGAATATTTAATCAAAAAAAAAGAGGAAATTAGTGCGGTTCTCCAAGCCACTAAACAAAAAATTATTACGCAAATAGAGAACTCTGATGAGCCAAACAAAAGCCTTCTTTTAGGAAAAACATTGCCGCACTTAAACTTGACGGAAACCGAAAAAAAGCAAATTAAACACAAGGTAAACATTCCTAGTTATAGTTTTCGTGAATGAAAATTAACACCCAAAGAAAAGGAATTACTTTACACTTTAAAGGTTATTCTCGAAATGAAAAAAAACCATTTAGATTTTCGTTTAGGGGTTGATTTTAACCGGTCAGAAACTAAAAACTTTCAAATAATTAATGGCCAAATTTTAATTCCTTTTTTGGCCATTACTGGTATTGGCGAGAGTTATGCTCAGAAAATTATCGCTCGGCAGCAAAAAGGGCAAATCACTAACTGAAAAGAGGAGTTAGCAACTGTTCTCAATAAAAATCATTTGGAGCAATTCGAACATTTAGAAAAATATAATTTAATTATTGAAAGCAATTCTGAGGCTTAATTTATTAAATTTATTCACCAGCCTTTCTGGCAGCCAGTTTTCTTTCTAAGAAGTATAATTTAGCCCGGCGGACTTTTTGGTTAATTTTGCCTAACTTCTTAATTTCGGCGATTAGGGGCGAATGATAAAAAAAAATTTGCTTGATAGTTAATTTATTGCTTTCGTGGAGGACAGTAAAATTATAACTAATTTGCTTTTTTCTTTTTTGGGCAATAATTATTCCTTTGAATGAAGATAGTTTATACTTTTCTTTGTTTCCTTTGTCTTGAATTTTGGTGATTACTTCGACTTTTTCTCCTACTTGCAAAGGAAGCAAATCATTTCGTAAATATGGCTTAGTAATTTGGTTCAATAAATTACCTTGGCCAGAAGTTTTGAGGTTTTCCATAATAGTTATTTTTAATTATGAACCAAGTAATTTTTCGGTTTCTGCTAAAAAATCTCCATTAAAAAAGATAATATTAATACCATTCATGGCAAAAATTCAAGTAGAATAATAGTTGTGTCTAAGCTTTTATTTTGGCTGGGGTGGCTGGAATTGAACCAACGATGAAGGAGTCAAAGTCCTTTGCCTTACCACTTGGCTACACCCCATAATAAGTGAAATGAAATTAGCAGCAGTTTCCATTATAACTTATTTTTAGGGTTAAGTCTTTTCTTGTTGTTAATGTTGTCAACATCTGAAAATATATAGGCAAAACTTTGAAGAAAAAATGGCAAGGAAAAAGCAAAGCAAGACAAAATCCCAACCTTTACTTTTTTCGGTGATAAATTTGAGTTACAAATTGTGAAAATTCTTTTTGTTCTCTTAATTGAAAATCTTTAATTAACTCCGGGAAAAAATCTAATTTAATATTGCCCGAGTATTTTTCTTTGATTACGGAAATATATAATTGGTCGGCAAAAGGATAAGTTTGGTAAAATATTTCTCGACCACCGATAATAAATAATTGTTCAGGCTGATTGGCAAATTGTTGAATAATTGGAACAAGATTATTTTCTATTACTAGTTGCGGATATTTTAATTTGGTTTTTATTGCTCATTCTTGATTTTTAGTAAGAACAATATTGCGTCTTTTGCGTAAAGGCTTGCCAATGCTTTCAAAGGTTTTTCGACCCATTAATATTGCGTGCCCTTGGGTAGTCTGGGTGAAATATTGCATTTCTTCCTTGATTTTTCACGGCAAAGAATTATCCTTACCAATTATATAATCTTGGTTCATGGCCCAAATCAGGTTAATCATTTTAAAAGTAGTGTTATTGTTTGGTTCATTTTTTTAGCCCCTTTTTGATTATAATTTTTACTGGTTCGAATATTTTTTTTCGTAGTAGCAAGAATGACTACCAAAGACATAGAGAATATCGCACCATTTGAGGTTTTCATAAGAAACACGCCAGAAACAGGAATAGACTGCCCAAGCAAACTAAAACTCAATTATCCTCACACGATTGGTAAAGGACGATTAAAGAACATTTAGGGGTAGCCAGTAAGTAATAGAAAAAGCAATTTATCAAACTTGTCGCAAAAACTCTCCCACTTCTACAAGTAGTTAATTCACCTTGAAGAAAATTAAGGAAATGGTTTGCAAGATAGCGACCCATCTTCATTTCTAGTATATATTCGGCTTTTTTTTGTTCCGTCAAAGTAAATTCCGTGTCGAGCATTAAGTATTCGCATGGCCGGAATTAATTGGTGCTTGATGGCTGAATCAATTTCCCGCGAGTTATTTTTCACTTCTACCACCACAAAAAATTTCCTATTCTTGCTAACCACTAAATCCACGCGTAAAGAATTATGGCCGTCTCGACCAATGCGAATAACGTGTTCAAAAATAATTTGGTCTTTTTCGTAGCCTCTGCTCAAAAATCATTTGACTAATCTAACTGTTCAGTATTCTTCGGTATATCGACCATCAGCCGCGTATTTTCCCCTTTTCATTCTTCCCCGGATGGGACAAATAAGGACATTATCCGGTAATTTTTTTTCTGGGGGTTCTACTTTGCTGAGCCAACGAATTAAAATAATTAGCAAAACCAGAGTAATTAAGGAAATTAAAATTATCCACCCGTAATTAAAAAAAAAACTCTTTAACTTTTCTGCTATTTCACCTAATTTCATTATATACTTAATATTTTAGCGAGAATTGGCGGAATTTAGTCTACCAAAATGCTTTTTCTAGTTAGCGAGTTATAATTGCAAGCAAAGTTTTAATTTTAGCGGTAAATTTCTCGGCGGTGTCCTGCTTCTACCACGATTATTAAGAATTTTGCATGCTGAAGTTGAAGGATTTAAAGTCCGGCGAATTGCAACAATTTGTTTGACGCTAACTTTGCTTTATACCCCCAAGAATTATATTTATTTTTTGCCCTTTGCGTTTTTACCTTTCGTTGCGGACTTTTTTGTCAAAGAGGATTTAGTTCCCGTGGGGATTTTATTTAAATACCAAGCAGCCGTACCTAACAGAGTAGCAGTCGCTAAGACTCCTCCCCCAATTGCCCAAGGGAGTCATTGCTTTGTGCTCTTGGGGACAAAAGTATTTTTTGCCGGATTGGTTACTTGGAGTTTTTGCTGGTCAATTTTTTTGGTAATTTGTTGAACGTGTTGGGCTACTGCTTGGCTAGTGGTTAATTGCTCTAATTCCCTTTTATCGTAGTGTCAATTAGTTGAATTTTGTTTTTCGGCATATTTATTAATAAATTCGAGCGCTTTTTCTTTGGCTACTTGGAGATCTTCGGTCTTTTCAATTAATTTAACCGTTAAATTGACTAATAATTCTTTTTCTTGCTCCCAGATTTCTTTTTCTCTTGCTTGCGAACTTGTGAGATAGTTATTTAAATTCTCGGTAGCTTTTTTGATTTCTTCTAAGGAAGCTTTGGTTTCGTCTTGAATCTTTTTGGCTGCTTGGATTATTTCTTCGGCGTTGTCGGTGGAAATAGGAGGAGGAGAGGAAGGAGAAACTGGCTGGGGAGTTGAAGGAGGTTGGGAAGGAGAGGGGGAGAAAGGAGGAGTTTCTGGGGCAGAAAAACCACCGCTGGGGAAACTACCGCCGCCACCGCCACCGCCAGTATTGCCACCAGTGTTGAGGGGAGGAGTATAACCGCCGCCACCGCCACCGCCACCGCCAGTATTGCCACCAGTGTTGAGGGGAGGAGTATAACCGCCGCCACCGCCACCGCCGTTATTATTTTGTTGTTGTTGTTGTTGTTCAGCCGCCGCTTTAGCAGTAATTAAACGATTTTTGGTTTTACCTGCTGGAAAATCAGTGTAATCTAAACTATTTATGCCTACATTGAGATTAGAAAGTTCTAACCCTCCAATATTTGGAGTTTGAAGTCCAGCTAATATGAGGTCATAAGCCCTTTCATTTGCCGCTTGAATTATGTTGTTTTTCTTTCTGCCATCCGGCAATAAATTATCATCACAATTTCAAATTCATTCTCCGTCTGCCTCGCCGTTGAAAGAAAATAGTACAAAACAGTTTGTAGTGCTCTCAATAAATGCAAGATAATTATGGCTATTTTCTAAATGAGTTCTAGATACTTCAGTGGGATTAAAATTGTTAGTAGTTTGTCCATGGTTAGTATAAGTAGGAATTTCTCCACCTTGGATTTCGTTGGCGTTTCAGCCATTATTCTGGGCTATCCGAGAATTTGCTCCGTCTAAACCTCTTCCTTGATAAGCAAGTATTTGCGTATTGCTTAAGGCAGAAGGAGCCGTTCCTTGAAAATCATGAATAAATTGGGCTTGGCTTTTCAAAAGAGCAGTTATATCGTAAGAATAAGGTGCTCCATCAGCGACCCGACCGCGATTTGTTTGGACTTCTCAATTGTCAACATCATCAGCACCTCAACCATTATCATAAGCTATACGGGCTGTCGCTGGGGAATAATTTTTGTCGAATCAATTTAAAAAGTCTTCTTCTACAATTTTTATTGTAATCTGGTTTCGGCTTCCTGGCAATGAACTTCCGGGGGCATTATTAAAAGCCTCTCAATAAGCAGTTAATTTGTTAGTTGTTTGCGGGTCAATTGTCTCTCAATCAGTCCCTTTATTTCAAGTAACTTCGCCAAGGTGTTGGCTAGTTAAATTGCCGATGTTTGCTAATTTTCAATGGTTGTCATAAACCTGTCGAGCTACTGCTGGATTAGGATAAATTGCCATTCACTCGTTAATCTCCGCCTCATTTGGCAAGGACCTTTGAAAATCCTCTTCATTTGGTGTGCGACCATTACCCGAAGACCTAAAAACTTCCCGATAAACTAATTCTCGTGTTTGTCCCGTTCAATCGTAATTTTTATTTGTTGTCGCTCAATTGTCAAAAGTGCAAACTTTATCGCCGTTGTCATTGACGCTAATTTCAACCGGATTAGTTCAGCCCAGGTCGTAAGCTTGTCTTGCTTCGGTTCCAGTAATCTGATAGTTGCCATTAAGACTTGTTTTCTTGTAAGCCAAAATGGCTTCATTGCTGACCCCATTAGCACCAAAGGAACGGAAAACATGAATAAAATCTAAATCGGCTTTGTTTTGAGTTCTTGGGTCTACATTGTCGGTTGATACGCCGTGAGAAGTATAAGTGAAAGTTTTAGAACCGAGCACAAAATTGGTAATTCTTCCTTCCTCAGTGTTAGGATTGCCAACATTTTCTCTTAAATCTCTTCAACTATTACTTCAAACTTTTTCTGCCTCGGAAATATTTGGAAATGGTTGAGGAATTGTTAAACTTAAATTGTTTCTTCAACTTAATTGGATAGCATTATCAGTAATTCCTTTGTCCGCAAAGAAAATAATTCAATCAGCAATTTCTGCTCGTAATTCGTTTAGTTTTGCTTCTCTTGCGGCGTGTAAAGCAACTTTTTTACGAGTAGTTGGTAGTTTAGCATTGTCAGCTGCTGTAATTGCTTCAATTCGGTCGAAAATCTCGTTTCCATTACCATTATTTAAATTATCCATGTTAACAACAGTTTTCGCGTTGATATCTTTTATAATTTCGTGAACATTATCTAATTGATTTTTGTCATGGCTGTAAGGTTTAACACCAGTTGTTTCTATGCCAAGTGAAGTATAAGTGAAATTTCTGTCAAAGGTATCTCTACCGGCTACGTCAGCAGTAATCTCACCAACGTGGCTGTCTTTGTTTGGTGCGGTGAATATAGTTCCATCTACCACGCTATTTCAATTGTTGGATTCTAAAATGAGTTCATTTCTTAGTTCGAATAATCTTTCCTTAAATAATTCGGGGGGCAAAATATCATTATTTAATGCTTTAATTCGCCGTTCAATTATTGCTCCCAATCTCCCACTTACTAAATCAGAAAAATTGGTTGGTTTTGTAATAACTGAACGAATATTATGAGCCTCATCTAATGCTTCTTTATCTACTTGGAGGGGGTTAATGTCCTCGTAAGCTATTCCATCAAGTCAGTAATTAAAATTAACGTCCGTCGGCAAGCGGTGTCTGGAAGTTCCGGGTTCGACACGGGTAAGTTCAGTTCAATGTTTCTCCTCATAAGCTTCCACTGCTTGGGAAGGAGTTAAAAAAAGTGATTTTCATTTGGCTCTTTCGATACCTCTCGCTATATCTCCTTCTATCGCCGTAATTCCGCGGTCGGTGAAAAACATTCGGTCCCATTCTGCGTTATCTGCGTCTTTTCTACGCGTTTCGATTGGATATTCAACTTCTTCACCATATTCATTAAATATTGCGACGGGAACTGTTGAGTCTGGGCGGATAACAATTTCGTTCGGACTTCAACCACTATTTTTGGCTGTTTGGGCTTGGGCGGGGGTTAAAAAACCTTTGTTTACTCATTGCTGACGTTCAGCAGAGTCGGCAAAATCAGCTTCCGTTCAATCCTGTGCTGCTGCATAAGTCATCGTTAGCGGATAACTTACCCCCGCCAAGTTTCCAAGTCCAGCTTGGTAATGGTCGACCTGAAGGATAGGTCAGCCGTTTCTTTGTGCTAACGCAGCATTTTCAAATGATTGTCCTGTCCGTCTTCACTGTTCAGCATTAACGCCAAATTTTCCTCTTCAACGAGCGTTCTCGCGTTCTCTGGCTGCTCTTTCAACTAACTCTATTTCCCTTGCTCTTAAATCTTGGAGAAGATTCTGAGAGTCGGTATTTCCTCCCCAAATTCTATTTCGCGGGGTATTTGGGGCACTTTCCGCAAAAGAATTTAAAAGACCAATCGCTTTTCTCACTTCGCTTAAATCACCGGCAATCCTAGTATAATTGTCGTTAATGTAAACTACTTGTCAATTAAACCCTGTTCGAAGTTCGTCTTCACTCCTTAGAGTATACATAAAATTATCCGTTAATATGGGGTTGACAGTTATGCCATCAAATGTGGTAAACAATCCAGTATTCTCCGCATTAGCATAGTTTTTGGTGGATATATTATCCGTTCTCGCCCTTCAACCTCTTTCAAAAGCTATTCGGGCATCGTCAAAATTAAATCCTTTGTCCATTCAAGCTTGGATTTCGGCGGTAAGTTCAGCATTAATATCAATTTCTTCTCCGGCCGCTAACCTGGCTAGTCCATAAGTGTCTAAACTGCTTTCCGGTAAATTTTCGTCGATAGCGCGTAAATTGTCGTAACATTCTCTAAAACATTTTTCATAAAAATCTATTTTTCTTGGTGCTGGTTCTACTTCTCTTCAACCTATACTTCCTACAATTTCTCATCAAGGAAATATATTATTAAAACCATTTAATTTTAATTCGGAAACTGGTAAAACCAAATCTACTCGGGTGCTTATTATTTTTCCGGTTTGTCTTTGCTCTCCTTGTTCATCTGTTATTCTTTCCATGTCTCTGTTAGGTCACGCATTTGAAGGTTCCCAGCCTTTGTTCGCTAACTCTTGGGCAGACTCAGGTTCTATTATTCCTGCTTTTGTTACATAGGCTGCGATTGGACTTGAAGCAAAATTTTGTCAATTTGCTCGGACACGAGGGTCGGGTAAATTTCCAATTCAATCACTATTGCTCGCTTGGTCTTTTTTTACTCAGAGAGGATTAAGCAGAAAAGTGCCTTCTTCTCCAGTCGCCGAAGCCGCACCACGAAACTCGGGATCGAGAAAGTCTTTTACGTCTACGGCTTTTCAGCCATTTTGAAAATGAGCAATAACAAATTCCTGCGGAGGAAAATGTTTTTTCATTCAACCATTAATTCTTTTTTTTTGAGCGATCTCACTTAGAGCAACAAATTTGGGTTTTTTTTCCTTTGGTATTAATTCAAGTGCTTTGTGAGAGTAAGAGACAAATTTAGTTTTTGTCAAGGCGTCAATTTCAAAAAGTTCAGTGGCGGGATTAAGAGAAGCATGATAAGGAGCAGTGCCAGTTTCTTCTCTTGAATTTAAATCTCTTGCCTCTCAACCATTATTGCACGCTTGGCGGGCATTTTCGGCACTTCAATTTTTTCCCCGGTAAGCGAGAATTTCCTGTTTAGTAAGGTTGTCGGAGGCAAGAGAGGTTGTTCCGCTGTGAGTTCCTTTAAATTGATTAATGTATTCATTTTCTTCTCTGGATATAGCTTTGTTGGAAATATCAGTGACAATTTTTTTAGCAGCTGTTAAAACAGCACCGAGAGTAGGAGTAAGTTCATCATAGGTTAAAGCGGCGAAAACAGTAGGGTCTTCTAGCATTATTATCCCTCTTCTATCTAATTCTGCTCAGTCTACACCTCAGTCAGTTACATCTAAATCAACTAAATCTAAATTTCCTCTTTCTCTTAATGCTTCCAGTTTATTAGTTAAAAGCATGCGGAGAGAATTATGAAGGCGGGCTTTTATGTCTTCGACTTGGGCTTTATCTCCGGCAGTAATAAGGTCTCTTCAATTTTGCAGTTCAGCGGGAAAATCATCATTGGTAATTTCAAATTGCCCTTGGATGTTTGTAATGAGATTGAAACCATTGATTAATTCGTCGATTTCTGCAATAATTGCCACTTTATCTATGGTATTTGCTAAATTTCTTATTTCTTCCTCGCTGGCTGCTCTGAGTTCATCAAAGTTTAAACCAAGTTCTAAATTTCCGTCAACAATTCTTACTTCCTCGGCCACTTTTTCAATAGTTATATTATTTCCTACTTCTAGTAATCTTTTTTGGTCGTCAGTTAGAGCTCGAAGGTCAATTTTAATATTTTGGATTTCTTCATCACGAGCAAAAAGACAGCGGCTTAATCCGAGATTAATAATTTGGTTGTTTTTTTTGATTTTTTTCTTACTAGTTTGTTCCAGATATTCAGCATTATTAGGATCATTCGGATCAAAAGGACGTCTTGCAACTAATGTTCATCCAAACTCACAAGTATCATTTAGACCAATTCACCTGGTTGTCTCTGCGGTACTTGGTGTTTCAACACTTTCAATAGTAAAAGTAATATTATTGTTTACTTCTTCTGGAACTTCTCTTGCTCGAGCAGTGCCCAACGTTCAATTAATTGACTCGTCATTTAGTAATTCGTCTAGATTAAACGACTTTCGGCGACTCTTTTGACCCGCATAAACAGCGGATAGAGTTTCGCCATTATAATTTCTTTCAAGAAAATTCTTATCGAGAGCAATTCAATAGACCTCTCTTTCGCTTGTTGTTATTCCCCGCCGATCTGATTGTAATCATCGGTAAAATTTAATTCCGCGACTGTCTTCAATTGGTTTTCCATGTTCGTCGCGAAAACTCCCATCATCTTGTATATAAGCAAATACTGAGCCGCTTCTGTTTCGATAATCTTTTACTCAATTTTCAGTTAACTCGTCTTGGGCTGTTCCGAGCATTGTTTCCACTCTCTCACCAGTCGTCGGGTGGCTAGTGAAAGATGGATATTTAAAGAATCCGTGTCTTTTTTTCCTTCCTCGTTCAAAGATATAATCTCCTTGGAATTGAAGCCTAAACTGAATAGTTTCTCCGCCGCTTGTGGTTTCATCATTGTCTTTAAATTGGTCATGACCAGCATTGTTAAATAAATTCTTAAACACGGCCTTTAATTGGGGGTCACGGATACTATATTGATCACCAGCATATTTCTCATCGCTTTCGCTGTAATTAGTGTCTTTGCGGAGAGAACTAACGTGAAAAATTAATCAATTAGAAGTAGCATTTATGGCTACTAGTTTATTTTTTTGCTCATTATTCAAACTTATTCCGCTTCTTTGTAAATGTGTTAGATAATCCCGAATTAAGTCTTCGTTTACCAAATAACTGGTTAAATCTGCTTGTCTTTCCCCAACGTTCAATTCTTCCCTTATTTCCGTTAAAATTTGTCCTAGCCAATTTCTTCCGGCACATTTATTTGTATCACAGTCGTGGTAAAATCGGTAATGATAACTTTCATCTCCATCGCGGAAGTTGGAATTACCCCAAAACCAATCTTGATTTTGCGGATCAGCAATTTTGGTATTTTCGATTAAGTCGGCACTTCCTGTTGCGAGTAGAAATCTCTTTAATTCGGGGTTTTGCGTAAATTTCGCTCTGAGAACAAAACGCATAGCTCGCAAATTATAGCCTCTTTCTGGGTGATCCCTGTCTTCCCAATCTGTTCTTGTTCGTCTTCCCTGAGGAAAATTTTTAGCGTACCTAGGGTCTTCATTGTTAAGTAATTCTGTTATTTGTCTTACTTTATCTACTTCACTAAATTTCAGAGCCTGAAAAAGGTGCTCGGCGGTGGGAAAAGTCAATTCCTCCGTTAATCAGGCTGAAGCAGGTGTCGGTTTTCCATTTTCACCTAAATTACTAGGAATGCGGACGGTTATTGGAGAGCGGTAAAAATTGCTGAATGTTCTTCTACCATCGTCGTTTGTTTCTCGGTGGTCTTCGTAATAAAATAATATTCTTTTTGTCATATGGGTTAAGTATTGTGTTCTGTTTTTGATATGCTATGTTTGAAACTTTTCATATTTATACATATTTATAATTTAATTTTACATAATTTGTAATTATTCTCTCTCTCTCTCTCTCTCTCTCTCTCTGTATGCGTTTTGTGTTTTTGTATTATATACATATGTATATAAAGTTTGGTAACTAATGTTATTATTAGTTGTTTTTTTCTCTTTCAAAAGGAAAACGCAAACGGTTTAAAATTGCCTCTAACTTTTTTGCCTCTAACTTCACTCCTAATTTTTTTTCAATAAATGCTTGGCTGATAGTGATAGTTTTTTCACTTGGCTGGTTGGTTTCTTTTGTCCAGCGGATTATTTGTTCTTTTTCTCCTTGACAAATTTCTTTGATTAGTTCAATTGCACGAACCAAAGCATAATTGCCAAAAGGCAAATTATATTTTTTGCTAAAATATTGGCTGGTTTTGGTGGAAATTGCTAAGCGTTGACTAGTTTTTTTGATAACATAAGGAGCAAAACAAGCACTCTCAATTAAAATGTTCGCAGTTTGGTCATTTACTGCTCCTGTTTGGCTTCCGCTAATTCCTGCTAAGCTGATTGCTTCCTGGCTAGTAGAAATTACAATATCTTCGGGGCTTAAAGAGAGAGTTTTTCCTGAAAGAATGGTTATTTTTTCTTTCTCCAATGCTTGGCGAATAATGATTTCTTTGCTTGGTAGTTTGTCATAATCATAAATATGTAAAGGTTGACCGGTTTCAAGCATTACTAAGTTAGCAATGTCAACAACATTATTGATTGAGTTAATATTATTACTAGCCAAGCAGTCTTTTATTCATTGTGGAGAAGGTTGAATCTTGGTGTTTTGAACCCAAGCCAGTTGAATTTGGGAACAATGAGAAGTATTGACAATAATTTTGCTTCAATTTGCTTCTTGTTTGGTTGAATTTTTTCACTTTTGTTGGCTTGTTGGTGGTAAATTCAAAGGGCAATTTAATAAAATGCTTATCTCTTGGGCAATTCCTCATCAAGAAAAAAGGTCTAAGCGGTTTGGCGAAGGAGTAAATTGCCAATTTTGCCCAACTATTTCAGTTTCTAGCCCTAATTCAGTCAATTTTTCAGCAATTTTTTGCGGGCAGGTATTCTCAGGAAAATTAAGGCGGCTTTTTAGTCAACTTCAAGGTATATACATTATGATTATAAATTTTTGCTTATTATTCTCAATTTAATTATGTTAGATTTGTCAAAATAATTTCTGTAAATTTAATATCTATTGCTTTCATATTTAGCACTAAACTAAATTTTTATATTGACGCCTTTCTTTCTGAAAAACGCGGAGTTATCAAAGCCTTGTTAGCTCAATGATAGAGCAGTTGACTCTTAATCAAAAGGTTGGAGGTTCGAGTCCTCTACAAGGCACCATTAAAAAGCTATTTTTTTTTCTTTTTCTTGTTTTCTGGTGGTAGCAAATATAAATTTAATCCTAATAAGGCATCTAACTCATGGATATTAATTTTTTGTCCTTGAAAAAACCACCCCCCTTTGCGACCAATTTTTCTTTCTAATTCAGGAATAATAAAATTTTTTTGGAGTACTTTTTTGTAAAAATCTTTTACTTGTTTGACGAGAATATTATCAACTTGTTTTATTGTCCGACAAACATGCTTCAAGCATTCAATCCCCCCAATTAATTTAAGCAGATTTACACTGCCCGCAAATTGCCTGCCATAAATAAAATTAGTATTCTCGTAAACTAAAATATTGACTTTTTTTTCTTGGCAAAGTTGGGAAAGAAAATGAAAATGCTCTTGCCAGTTTTTACTATTAAAATTAAAAAATTGATAGGTTTTTTTTCGTTCGTCGTAAAAGACACAGCCAGTAGTTCCGGAGCCTGATGGGTCAATGCTTAAAAATTTATCTGGCATTGTGCTTTCCTATTGTTTTTTTTCATTAATGGAATTTTTGCTAACCAATGAAGTTGTGTAACTAAAAATCACCAATAGACTGCTAAAATTTATTAAAAACTAGATATGGAAAAAGAACAAGAATTAATTGAAGAAAAAGCAGAAGAATTAGAAAAGGACGAACCTAAATCACGTAAAAAAACTTCATTCAAGTTAAGAAAAATCAAAAAATTGCCGATGCGAATAGTAAAAAAAAATAATTACTTTACTCGCCATAACATTACTTACATTGATTATAAAAATACTAAATTATTAGGTCATTTTGTTAACAAACAAGGGCAAATAATCCCCAAAATTTTTGCTAAGTTGCCAAGCAAAATTCAAAGAATAGTAGCCAAAAATATCAAAAGAGCTAGACAAATGAAACTAATGCCTTATATTATTGTTAATCAAGGTGATTTTTAAAATTTTAGTTAAAAAATATTATTAATTAAGAAAACCTTGTTTCGCTAAACTTATCTTTAGTTTGCGCCTATAGTTCAGCGGACAGAATGTCTGACTTCGGATCAGAAGGTCGGGGGTTCGAATCCTCCTAGGCGTACCAAATTGATAATAAAATTAAATATATGGACGAAATTAATCCATATAGTAAGTGTTAACCAAACACTGATGGCAGTTAGTAGCAACTAGTTGAGGAAAGTCCGTACTCGCCCAAGCTGAGATGCTTGGAATGTTGGTGCTAGAGTTAATAATTCTAGGCAGGAACGCAAGTTTTTGACGGCGGACAAAATACCTAAGTAGGCTTCTAAATAGGGTAAATAGTTTGTCATGTTCTCCAACCCTACCTCCTTTTTGCCTATAAGGTATTAGTCTATAAAAGTGCTATAGCGACGAATACTAGGGAAACCTAGGAAGTGAGACGACGTAAACCCCGCCAGCGAGCAATCCAAATTAATTGGTAGGAGCAGCCAAAAGGAAGAAATGAATTCCAATTGGCTATTCGCAAGAATAAGATAAATCATCAGTTAAAACAGAATACGGCTTATGTTTGGTTAACAGTTAGCAAAAGTTCCCAGGCATGGGAACATAGGCTCTATTTATCATGTTAGCCAGGACTTAAAGGGATTTTTTGTTCCCTAAAAAAGGAAAAATTTAACCCAAATTGGTTTGCTTAATAATTGGCGTTTTTTTCAATATAGCCATTTTTGGTTTAGTTTTATTTATTTTTGTTTTGCTAATGGATTTGTTTTGCTTTTGTTAGCCACGCATTTTTTTACGAATATTTTTTGAAGTAAATTTTGTTGTTTAGTTTTACCGTGTTTAAGTTGGTTTGCTTTTGCTAAATGAAAATTTAAAAAAATTTGGACAAACCACTTTTGAGATAACAGGAGGTGCTGCGACCAATGATCCTACTGGTAAAGTTAATTACTCTGCTAACAAGGCACTTGGGATAGAAAAATAATTTTATGAAGCCAAGGCAAAAATTTATTCTCCATTTTTTAATTTGTTTCTTTGGCTTATTAGTTTTTTTTGCTTTGTTTTTATCAGCAAGCAATCATGGCGTTCTAAAACTAAATTTTATTCAAATATTCTTGCTTTTAACTTGATTTATCCTTATTTCTCTCGTTTACGCTTTTTGCCATGTTTCTTTCCTTTCTCAACATTACAAACGGGTCAATAAATTATGGAAATACAAAACTTACAGGAATTTTATTTATACAATTTGTTTATTTTTGTTTTATTTGTCTCATTTTTTTTCTTTCTGAACATTAGCCATAGAACAAAACGACTAAAGCCAAAGAAAGAACCAAATTTAATAACTAAAAAACATTAAAAATTACCATAGAATAAATATGGGACAAAGAATTAATTATTTAATTCGCTTATGAAAGCAAGACCGCTCTCGTTTTTGGCAAGAATTGAAACTATGATTTTTTTCCTGATTTCGTTGACCATTTCGCTTAACAAATCCGATCAAATGTCGCACCACAAAAATGGTTAAAAGGTCATTGATTGGTCACTCCTTTTATTTTTCCCATCTGCGCAGTTATAAAGTTCGTAGCCCCTTAACTGGTTATATTGCCAAAATTTACATTGACGATACCACCCTTCACCTAGTTGGCGATAATGGCTTACAAGTTATTTTGACAATTAAATTTAGAACTCAACTTACTTCGATTTACGAAGTGGTTCGTTGCTTAGTTAAAGAAAAGCAAAAAGTTAAACAGGGAAGCGTCCTTTTTCTGATTGTTCATGAAAAGCAAGTCGCCAGTGTCGCAGTAATGATTCCTTGACAGCCTTGGGTTTTGAAAAAATTGAATAAACTCCCTCCTTTGGGAAACTATTTTGCTAGTCTCTATTATCGTAATCCTTGAGATAAAAAAGCCAAGATTACCAGATTTGGGCAATATTAATCGAGCTTTTTAATTTATTTTGGTCAGAATTCGTTCTTGTAAAGCAAACATTATTTCTCTTTCTTTTTCTTTTTGGTGGCTGTAGCCTAGCAAATGAAGCATTCCGTGGGTAAAAATGAGACAAATTTCTTCCTCGAAGGAAGAGGGGGATTCTCAGGTTTGTTTTTGTATCAAAGGATAGCAAAGAAAAATGTCGCCTAAATCTTCGCAATCAGCCAATTTTTCCTGGTAAAGACGAGCAAAAGGAAACGCTAAAACATCAGCTTGGTAGTCTTTTTGGCGGTATTGCTTATTCAATTGTTGGCTTTCTTCTTCATTAATGAGGATAAGACTAAGAAATCAATTTTTTCTCTTATCCAAGTCAGTATTTTCTTCTATTAATTGAGTAATTTTGTTAAGTTTATTTTTCAGTTTAACTGCCAAGGGGTAATTTTTTTCATTGACAACATTCAACTGACAAACCATTAAAAGACTTCTAGTTGAGATTCTTTTTTACTTTTTCTTTTTCTTCATCAATCTTTGATTTGTCGGTGGAAAATAAGGAAAATAATTCCTAAAAGAACAATTGGACCGCCAATCATTAAACCGATTTGTCATCCTTTCCACTTTCTCGGTTCGCTGGTAGTTTGTGGAGGAACAAATTTTAGCATTTCCTTTTTCAAATTTAGCTGAATCCGACGATTTCAAATTAGGTCGATTTCGATCATTTTGCCAGAAATCTTTTGGATGTCTTTTTGCCCAGCTTTGATTGGACTTTCATCTGGGCATTTGTATATATCTACCCGAACTCCTCTTCCATCGGCTTGGTCTTTTTCTATTTTAAATCTTATATCGCTACCTTTTTCTAGTAAACGACCGTCGCCACCGATTTCATTTTCAAAATTGTTTGCCACAAGTTTGCCATTGACATTATTAATACGGTCTAGGATTTTTTCCTTTTCTTGGTCATCAGCGGTAATTATGAGTTTTCCGTCGCTCGTTTGCTCACAATTTTTTATTTCTTTTAATCGGCAAGTAAGTTCGCTCACTTTGTCCGGAAATTTATCACTATTTTTGGTAACGAATACTTGCAGTTTAGCAGTTACACCCTCATTCACGAGGTCAGCTTGGTTTATTGGATTTCCATTTTTATCATACAAATACAGATAAAATTCGGCTTGAAAGCCTTTTCCTAAATCAATTTCTTCCCTTTGTTCACCAATCATTATATCGAATTTCTTATCTTCATTCATATTAATTTTTTTACTTGTTGTTTCTTCTTTGCTTCTTTTTTGTAAAATAAATTTTATTACGACATTTTTTACGTAAATAGGTAGTAATCCTTTGGAAATGCAAAAATGCTTCCTCGGATTTATCTTTATTTTTAATTGCTACTTGAATCTTTGCCTGCGACATTACAAGATATTTATATTTGCGTGCTTATGAGAGCTATTCATGGTTTTTACCTATAACTATATTTTATGGTATACCGCCCATTTTTTTATATATAGTTTGCCATTTTGATTTCATAATTTCTTTTTCTTTATCATTAGTTCACCAAGGCAATTTTTTGGGTTTTTTTAATTTATTATCCTCCACAGGAATTATTTTTTTGTCTCTTGTTAATTCATCTGATATATGCCTCCTTGCTTTTGGCTCTTGGCCATCATCGTCGATATAGTCGGCTTGAAAGTAAAATAATAGTATTAAGTTTTATTCTACCACAATTAATTTATCCTCCCTCGATTTCTGCCAAAGTGTCGTCAAGAAACTTGGCATAATAAGCAATTAACTTCTCATTCAAAGGCATTAAACCGTTTTTTTTCTCGACCCAATTCCCAAGCAGGATCTTCGTGAGAAAAATCTCGCAATTTTAACCGTTGAGGTTCGTGGTCGGCAAATCCGTTTTGTTTTAATTGTTTTTTCATATTTACTTGGTATATAGACGAAATGAAAAGGGATCAAAAGTTTGTTAAAAATTAAAATATGTTAATACCTAAAAAAACTAAGTATCGTTTTCCTCACCGTACTTCTTATGAGGGAAAAGCCAAAGGAAACAAAGAACTCACGTGAGGAGAATATGGTCTCCAGGCCCAAGAGGGTGCTTGAATTAAAAATAATCAAATTGAAGCGGTAAGAAAGGTAATTGTCCGTTTTATTCGCAAGGGAGGAAAAATGCGGATTAATATTTTCCCCCATCTCTCACGAACCAAAAAACCTTTGGAAGTCAGAATGGGTTCCGGAAAAGGCTCTATTGACAGTTGGGCAGCAGTGGTAAAAGCCGGAACTATCATGTTCGAGTTAAACGAAACAAGCCGAGAAGTAGCCCATCAAGCCCTTCATGCTGCTAGTTACAAATTACCCATCAAATGTAAAGTTATTGAAAAGAAATTAGCACCAACTTAGAGAACTAATCTAGTTTTTTCTTTTGTTTGCTTTTTGTCTATAGCAAATAGACATTACCAAAAGACAAATGTTGGCTACGGGTTGAAAGGAGGAACCATTAACGTGCCAGGTCGGAAACCCAAACTATCCCGGTATGCCCGAACTATCCAAATCCGGGGACAATTTCCCGGGGAACCAGAGGAAGTTTACACCCGACTACCCAAACGAGAATACGAACAAAGAAGAGAATTATTTGACGACCCGGATTACTCGGATAACCCGGTCCACCTAGCTGACTATTCCTATGACGAATGAACCGAGTGAGGAGCCCAAGGAGGAAGACCAAGGCAATGAGAAAGTGATGCCCAAAGAGAAAAAGTTGAATTAAGCAAATGGCCATGTTCTCTTGCTAAACTTTACCCAATAAATTCAGAAAATAAGCACAGCATCTTTTTCGTGGTCGTTTAATTGTTTTCCTTTAAAAGTTCAGGTTTGTTTGGGGTCGGCCTTTCCCTCGCACTTCTTGGCAAACTAATCCAGCAATTTTTCCTTCTTTGGCTTGGGCTTCTCACTTTGACATATACTGATTGCTGATTGGGACATATTCAATCCTTAATTCTTGGGCTAAATATTCATAATGTCCTACTAGTTTGATTGGGTTATCAAAATGATAATTGTAATTCTGTTTTTGTCACAGGGTGCTGACCTCACAAGAAATTACTTAGACTTGTTCTTTTTTGACCAAGTTTTCCAGGTTTTTGGCCTGTTCTAGCCAGTTTTCGGATTTAAAATTTTTAAACTCTTTTAACTAATAATTTTCTAACTGTCTTTGTTGATTAATTTTGTTTTTTTGCGTGTAAACATTCAGCAGTTTTTTTTCGTCGAGTTCTGCCTGCCAGCATAATTTTTCGAAATTTCGTAATCAACCCTGGTAATTTTTTTCGGTTTTGCTGGTTTTACCCTTAATTTTCCTTGGCCGAGGCAAATTAAGTTTTTTGGTTCTTTCGAAAAGGCTAAGCAAAAGATTATTTAAAGCAAATTCTCCTTCGCTCAAAAAATTTTGAAAACGATAAGCAATAAAATCAATCCTAGCGGAATTGGCTAAACTCAGAAAAAAATGCAAACAATCAATTAATTCTTCTTGAACCTTTTCTAAATTTATTTTTTTATCCTTTTTTCAATACTTAAAAGTTTTTAATTCGTTAGCTACTTCTCCAATTTCGACAAATAAAGCAATTTTGCGCAAATAAAAAGTATCTTTCATTTCCAATTTATTTTGCTGATGGATAAAAATATCGAGATTTTTTTGCTTTTCTTGTAAAAGATTGAGAGTTTTTTGGGTCAACACCGCCTTTGTTGTTTTCTTCATTTATATTAAAGATTTTTATTTTTCCCGGCAACTTTTTAATTTTCTAACCAAAACTTTTTGGATTTTTTCTAATTCTTATTAAACAAAAAATGACAAATATCTCCATCTTTAATGATATATTGAGCACTTTCTGTGCGGATTTTTCCCAACCTTTTTAATTGTTGTTCGTTAGGACAAATTAATCAATCTTGGTAATTATAAACCTGGGCGCGAATAAATCCTTTTTCGATGTCAGAATGAATTAAGCCAGCGCATTGTTTGGCATTCATTTTTTTACCGCCCAATCAACTTTTGGTCTCTTTCGGTCCAGCTGTGAAAAAAACTTTCAAGTTCAATAATTCTTTAATTTTTGCCATAAGCAAACTAAGGTCAGCACTTTGTCAATTTGTCCCCAGTTCTTTTCTTTCCGCAGCAGACAAATTTAGATAGTCGTTTTCAATTTGCACCGAGAGGGCAAAAAAGCACATTTGCTTTTCCTTGGCGTAGCTTTCCAAAACTTTTATTTCCGCTGGCTGGTTATAATTAGCAATAATAATCACTGGCTTAATCGTTAATAAATTATAACTCTTAATTATTTTTATTCATTCTTGACCTTTTTCTTCAGCGTTTAACTTTAATTGGGAAAGAGCAAAGCCATTCATTAAATTTTGCTCCAAATATGCTAATATTTTTAATTCTTTTTCGGCTTGCTGTGGTTGTTTTTTTTGTAAAATTTGTAACTTTTGTTTTTTTTTCTCAATTTGTTGTAAGTCAGCAAGAATTAATTCGCTTTGGATAATTTCGTAATCGCGGAGAGAATCCACGCTTTTTTCCACGTGTTCAATATTGGAATCAGCAAAGCAACGTAACACGTGGCAAATTAAGTCCACTTCCCGAACGTGGGAAAGGAACTCATTTCCCAAGCCCGATCCTTGAGCCGCACCTTTAACTAAACCAGCAATGTCTACTCATTCGATAGCACTGGGAGTTGTTTTAGCACTCTGAAAGACTTGGGCTAATTTTTCCAAACGAAAATCAGCAATGGGCATTACGCCATGGTTAGGGTCAATAGTCGCAAAGGGATAATTAGCAATTAACACTTCTTTTTTGGTCAAGAAACGAAATAAACTGCTTTTTCCGACATTTGGCAAACCAACTAAACCAATTTTGATCATTTTTTAGTTCTTTTAGAGAATCAACATTTGAATGTTTTCAGTATAAGCATATAATATTTAATAACTTTTAAAATTCCTCGCCAAATAAGAACGCAAACTAGCGGCTTTCTTGACCGGAATTCAAATTCTTTTTGGCTAAAGTTTCTCGTCAAAGTATAAATAAATTTTACCAACCCAAATTAAAATTGCGGGAATTTGCCAAAAAAAATAATGTTGCTTTAATTAATAAAACTTAATAAAATAACTGTTAAACAATTCAATTTTCCTAAATCAAAATGAAGTCAAATTAACTCCCAAGACCCAAAAAATAATCAATATGGATGATAAAAAAATAACTAAAATTGAAGAAGTACTCAACGGCAAGGAAACTGACAAACCGCGAGCTGAGCAAACCCTTCGCTTATTAGAAGTTGAACTAAAAAGTTTAATTCAACAAAAAAAAGAATTAAAAGCCAAATTTCAAAGCAAGTTCCAAGAAATTAACCAGTGATTCACCAAAGAATGACAAAAAGCCACCAAGTTAGAAAATAAAATGATTTTATTGTGGGACTATTGGCAAAGAGAAGTAGAAATCTTAACTCTCCAAAAGCAGATTCAAGGTCAAGTTTTAGCTACTGAACGGCAAGAAAATGTTAAAAAATTAGATAAATTGATTGCTCTGAATGCTGGTCTCGAAAAAGGTTTTAAAGAACGAAAAATCGATCCTGGCTTAATGGAAGAGTTAAGGAAAAAAATCGGGGCTTGGGAGTAATTATTCATGGAGTTTGTTTCGATTTATTTGCTGCCAGCGTAGAAAACTAAGTTATGGAAAATCAACAACACGACTTAATCATTATCGGGGCTGGACCAGCGGGCTTGACCGCCGCGATTTATGCCAAGCGAGCTTTATTAAAAACTTTGATTTTCGAAAAAGATTTGGCCGGTGGAAAATTAAACAAAACGGCTGAGGTGGAAAACTACCCCGGCTTTTCTAAAATAGGTGGTTCAGAATTAGCCATCAAAATGACTGAGCACGCTCGTTCTTATGATATTGATTGAAAAGACGAAGAAGTAGTTGAATTAACCAAGGACGAACAAGAAATGTTTGCCGTAAAAACTAAAAATGGAACTTATTTCAGCAAAGCAGTAGTTATTGCTTCGGGAACTGTCGAAAATAAATTGAAAGTCCCTGGGGAGGAAGAGTTTACTAATTTTGGAGTTTCTTATTGCGCTATCTGTGATGGTTTTCTTTTTCGAGGTGAAACTGTGGCCGTAGTTGGTGGCGGCTACTCGGCTTGCGAAGCTGCTCTTTATCTCAGCAATATTGCGAAAAAAGTATATTTAATTCACCGGCGGGAACAATTTCGAGTAGACCCAGAAATTGAACAACAAATTAAGCAAAATCCCCGAATTAAGTTGATTTTCAACACAATAGTCAGCGAAATTGGTGGTGAAATAGAAAAAAAAAAGAAGAAAATTACCCACCTAATTTTAAAAAGTTCGCAAACAGGCAAAGAAAATTTTGTTCAAGAAAAGTTGGCAGTTAATGCTTTATTTCCGTGTATTGGTTTGTTGCCTTATACTGATTTTTTGCATAACTTGGACGTTTGTGATGGCAAGAATTATATTGTCGTCAACGAAAAATGTGCGACTAAAATTCCCGGATTATTGGCCGTTGGTGATGTTATTCATCCCGAAAGAATTAAGCAAATAGCCACTGCCGCGGGAGACGGAGCAATTGCCGCCCAAGCCGTAACTGAGTATTTAAGAAAAACAAGCAAAAATTAACTTCGAGCAACGCAATCAAAACCACGAGTGAAAAAAAGAGATTAACAATAATGAATAAATATAGTATTAACAAGCCTCGAATTTTAAAATTTCGGCTAAGCGAACCTTGGCTAAAAAATTTATTCTTCGATTAGGGTAGAATTACCAAGATTAATTTGTTTTTCTAATTCATTAACTTTTTGGCTTATTTTTCTTTTTTTCCTTGCCGCATTATTTTTATGGATAATTCCTTTTTGGACGGCTTTATCAATAATTTTTTGTCCCTGGCTGAATAATTTTTTTAAGTTGGCAAAATTAGTCTCATTTTTTTTTAAGGTACTCTGTCTAGAGCATTCATTTTCAATTATTTTTCTCTGATTTTTGATTAGAGTTTTATATTTTCTTTTTTTGCTTTGCCGCTCTTTATCTTTGAGGGCTTTTTTTTTATTTAAAGAGATTGCCATATATTAATATTTTTAGCCATGTCTCGCCACAATTACTAGTTTATTTTGCTGAATTCTTTCCGCCAGGAGGCTTTTTACCGGGGCTTATTTTGAGTTGCCCTTGCCCTTTTGTTGGTGCTGTGGATTATTAGTGGGAGTTAGATATGGATAGAATAAAAGAAGTAATAAAAAGCACCAGACAAGAAAACCAAGCTCTCCGGGAAATTTTAAGCCAATGTCGTTGCGGAAATGTTGCCTCAGGTTCTGAGCAAGAAAGCCAAATTCAACAACAAAGACAAACTATCGAGCAACTCCAAACTTCTCTTGCTGATTTAAATGCTAAATTCCAAGCTTTTAAGCAAAGAACAGATGCTTTACTGAATAAAATTAAAGGAATTATTGATGGGTTTTCTCCTTCTAGTTCTTCGGGTAGGCTCTTGAGATAGACGATTTGAAATGTAGAAAGAAATATGATTGAATTACAGCAACTAAGCCAAGAATTAGCCCAAAGAAGAGCCGAGTTTGCCCTCATAAAAGAGAAAGTAAGCCAGGTTTGTCAGAATTTGTTAGAGTGAAATAAAATTCGACAAGAAGCTTATCAATCTCAGTTAGCCCAAATTTATGTTGCTTTGCTTCCTCCTAGAACTCTTGTTCTAAATAGAGGAATAGCTTTTGAGAAAATAGTAGAAGAAGCAATTAGACTTCGCTCTAAGATCCAAGAAGTTATTCCAATCTTGCTTGAAGCTCTTGATGAAATACTTTTATTTTTAACGAAGAAATAAGAAAAGATATTGATAAGGAACTAAGAAAAGCTATAGACATGATTAAAAATGATATATTATGCCAATAATTAAAAAAGTTAGCCCAAGCCCGAAGAGATTTGCTTTTCCACCCAAGGAAGAATTTGAACGAGTGGTTAAGAGAGCAAGAAAAAGCGACAGAAGAACCAATTTTGGCTTAACTCCTTGGGCTACTGAACTAGACAAGGCTAAGCATAAACTTTGTAAAACTATTGCTCGCTACGAAAGAGAAAATAACCTAACTGAGAAAGGATTAGCCAAGAAGTTAGGAATTACTCATGCCAAAGTAGAAAAGATTTTGTTTTGCCACATTGATGAACTTACCTTTGAAGAATTAACGGATTACTTAAAAGAATTATCTATGCCTTGAGAAATAAAAATTAATAACAAATATGGTAAAACTACCGCACAAGCCTACTAATTTAAGAGAATATAAGTGTGATTTGGTTATTAATAGTCAGCATTTCACCAAACTAGAAATCAGTCCTTATTATGAGAAACATAATCAAGAATACTTAGACGCCTTGAAAAGAAAAAGTGCCAAGTTATCAGCCAAAGAGTTAGCTAAAAAGTTAATCACCGACGACCTAATCAGAAAAGTGTTAGTTCCTCAGTTAGATGGTAAAAAAGAAATTAGAATAGATGGCTACTATTACCAGTATACTTACTATTATTATGTGCCTTTATATAATGGAAATAAAGCCTATAAACTAATCTGGTGTTGTGATGAGAATAATCTTCACATTCTAGGAGTTATGGATTGTTTTCGGGTGGAAAAATTTGACAAAGACGATTAAAAAACCTATATCCTTGTATAAGAAGCCTTTGTTTGCCCTATTGATTGGCTATTTCTTGTTCTAGTTGTTTTTCTTTGGCTTTTAACTCTTCCAATTCTCTGGAAAACTTTGGGAGCGTATAAATTAGAGAAAACGCAAGCAAAACTATAAGTATTAAGCCCATTATTGTGAATGTATAAATAATTCACTTTCTAGCCGTTGGATATTCTCTGTGTCCGTCAAAAAGCCACTCTTCTACTCCTCACATAAATGCCATGGTTACTATTGAACCAAGGAAGCCTCACATTGACTTTTTTACGCTCACACAAAAGCGCACACACGCAAACACGCAAACACGCGCACACACAATAGGTAAAAGCAAAAACCACTCCTTTTTTAAAGGAAATGAGATAAGAAAGGAGGAAGGATACTAAAATGTGAGGTTGAGTAGCCGGACTAGGTATCTTTTTCATCCTTTTAATATTAGCCTTATTTATTCTCCCTTTGGTTTTTTGAATTTTAAAGATAGTTCGTTTATTTAAGAGTGGAAATAACACTGGAGGAATAGTAGTACTTATCTGCGGACTCTTATTATCTCCTTTAATTGGACTTCTTATAGGTTTAGCCTTTAAAGAAGATAAGCCTGAAGACACCGAGAAAAACAAATATTTCTGATGTGGCATCTGCAATATCAAATACCAAGAAGAGTTTCTCGGTGGTGAAACTGCTCACGAAGGAAAAATTTGTCGTTCTTGTTTAGGAAAAAAACAAAGAGGAGAAATATAAACCCGAACTCCAATCCAAAATCAAATACATCATATCAAGAAAAGTTTTTAAATGTTAATGGAGAAGTTAAGGAGTTAGAGAATGAGATAAAGGAGTTGGAGGGTTAAAAACAGAATTATGTCAGAGATAAATATGAGTGAACCTAAATGAAAACTTTTAGGTAAATTAGATAAAAAACTTAAAAGTGGAGAAATTACTGAAAGAGAACTAGCTTTCTTTCTCGGCAAAAGAATAGATTCGGATACGCTAAAGAAACTTCTTATTGAAAAAAAGAAAGAAGAACAAATTCAAAAAGAGACTGCTAATTTTTCTATGACATTTGTAAAAGATATTCCTAAAACAAAGAAAAAATAGCATGCTTGGTGATTTTTATGATGATGGAGAATGGGTTAATAATTGCCCTAGTTGCAATGAAGTATACATAACAGGAAAAGGAGTAGCTTGTTTAATTTCTTGTTCAGATAAGCAATTAGAAAAAGAACACGAAAGGGTGATTCGAAAAATGTTTGAACTCTGCCTATTTAAAAGAAATTGCTCATTCAAAGAAAATTTTGAGTTGAAACTTCACTACAATAATGAAGACTGTTCAGTTTTGGCTAAAACTGATGCAAGAGAAAAAATTATAAATATTTCTTGATTAACTCTTCGTAGCAAAAGAGAATTTTTTGACACTGTTGCTCATGAAGCAGCTCATCTTATTGCTTATGAAATAAAGTTTAGCCAAGAAGAAAGAAAAATCATAGAAAAATATTATGACCTAAAAAATAAAGGCGAACTTTCTTCCATTTATTCTATTAAAGAAAAGGACTATTATTCTCTTTATAAAAAAGTAATTAGTAACTATATTGCGGAAAGAGAAAAAGGAAAAAAGGGTCATTGAAAAGTTCCTTGATATTTCAGAATATGTGAACTGTTTTAACGAATTGCTAAATTCCTCGTATGCCAAATATGCTTATGGCAATACTGAGCCTCGCAAGTATGAAGAAATAATTGAAGATATTGAAAATGCTGAATGAGAAAATCGATAAATTAACCCTCTCCCATAAATATTTTCCTACACTCAGGGCAAATCCAAACATCTTTGCCATTCTTCTTAGTGGTGTATCTGGTAGGGTTACTGAGGTCAAGATGGAATTCATGCTTACATATGCCACACAGGGTTAATTCTTTATTGGTCATATAGGAATTTTAGGATAAGTTATTTGCTTGAGCTAGGAGTGCCGTAAGTGGGTTGGAGGATTTGGGCTTGTTGTTGAGATTGTTGGCTTTCTTCGGAGGAAGTATTGGGAAAGCTATCCAGAAGTCCGCTCATGCTAATCGTGGAAGAACCAGAGAGTTCTTGTAATATTCTAGTAATTTCTTTGGTTGGTAAAAGCTGGCTGTGATAGACTGCTCCAGTGTGCATTTTCTTTTTATAGTCTGGGAATTTTACTTCATTAGCCAAGTTTTTATTATGTTCTTCAGCTTCTTTGAATTGCTTAGTAAATTCTGTGCTTTTTGGATCTTGCTCTCTCAAACTTTCTGCTAATTCTTTTTCTCAATTCCGTAAAGCCTTCTCTAATTCCCCAGCACTTGGTCTTTTTTCTGGATCGGCATCTCAACATTGCTTAATTAAGTCTTCTAATAATTGAGGTATTTTAATGTTAAACTGGGGTCGTAGCCCCTCCACAGATTTTAATAGCCAGACCTATACCGTGTTCTCTGTCATAGTAAGGAGGCAAACCCGAAAGCATTTCATAAGCTACTATCCCAAAAGAATAAATATCGGATGCTTGAGTATAGGGCTTGCTATTTAAAACTTCGGGTGCTACATAAGGCATTACTCCAAAAATTTTGTCTTCCTTATTTGTTTCATTAGCTGGTTTACATAATCCTAAATCAGTGATATAACAAGTATTTGTGCCACTTTTCAATATATTACCTGAGTGAAAATCTCGATGAGAAAATCCTTTCCCATGAATTGAACTTAACCCCTTAGCAATATCTCGTAATCGATTTAATTTATTTTTGAGGTTTAGTTTACCATAACTATCCTTTAAATACTTTCGTAAGTCACCGTCTTTTATATATTGCATTACCATGATATAGTTCTTAGTAATGAGGTCTTGAGAAATACCATAACACTTGACTACTAAATCACCACCTCCAAATAACTTATGATTAGCAAATTCTCTTAAAAAATCCGTTGTCATGTCTTGAGAATTATTTAAACTTTTTAAAGCTACTGTCTTTTTATAGTGTTGACCTTTCTCAACTCATTCTGCTTTATATATTTTGGCAAAGCCTCCTTCAGCTAGGTATTCAATTCCGGTAAACTGATCATAGGGTATTAAAGTTGCTCTTGATTGATCAATTTTTTTTTCTTTTTCTTCATTTCTCGGATGGCAATTTTGACACCAAAGATTGCCATAACGATTTTTTTTTAATGACGGATGATTGCATTCCGGACATAAACTATATTTTTTAAATCTTTCACTTAATGTTTGGTAGTCTTCTTTGTAGTTGGTAATTCATTTTGGTTCATAGTTTTTGGCATCTCTTAACCAAGCCACAAGTTTAGTATCATCTAGCTTGGCTCCTGCCTTTACTCATTCTTTTATCTTTTCATAGTTGAACCCATTTTTTCCTCATTTTTGTAATTTATCTAACCCATTAGGGTTAAATCCTAATTCTATCCACTCTTTAGTTTGCTCGACCGTAAATTTTTGACCTTTCCATTGCTTTGCATAACCAGCATCCTTTGGTTTGAAGCCAATTTTTACTCATTCCTGAGCTTGTTTATCAGCAAAACCATAATCTCTTCATTCTTGAACATGGTTATAATCACTTAACTGAAAGCCAGCATTTATTCACTCTTTGATTTCTTCTTCAGTAAAGTTAAAATTTATTCATTGTTTATATTCTTGAAGCTTTTGAGGAAAGTTTTTTATTGCATAATAATTTGTTTCTACTTTTCCTTGTTCATTAGCCAATAAATTATAAATAACTTTTACTTTAGAATCTTTTCTTTACTAAACAATCAAAATATTTAACACTCTCTGGCAAATATTCTCAACCACTATCTATATCTGTATCATAAATATGAAGTCTTTCTAATTTATTCATTCCCTTTAAAGGCTCTAAACTACCATATAAGGGATTATTATATAATCACAATTCCTTTAAATTAACCAAACCACTTAAAAAAGATAAATCTTGGTGGAGATTATTATTGTTTAAAATTAATTCTCTTAATTTTTCTCCCTTTGGTAATTTAATTTGATTGAGTTGATTATCAGAGCAACTAATTCCTTCTAAACTAGCATAATCACTTAAATCTAAGGTGGTTAGTTTATTATGAGAACAATAAAGTTCCTTTAATTTAGGTAAATTATTTAAGATTAATTGTTGGAGGTTTGAGGATTGAATATTTATTCTTTCTAACCGAGGACAATTAGTGATAGTTAATTTTTCCCATATATTTTCTTTAAATCAGGATAATTATCAATAATTAGTTCACTGGGTTGGTTGAAGTTTAAATATTCTAAATTAATTTCTTTTACTTGGGATTTATTAGCATAAAAGTAATCTAATTGTTCTTGGGGAGATTTGTTTTTATAACCATTTGATCGCTTTTTATTACTTTTAAATCTAAATTAGTTATAATTAGATAATTGTTTTGTTCTTTGTCATTACATAATCATTGGTTTTGTTATAAGAAGGTTATTTTGCTTAAATCAGTAAGCAACTAACTTGGTAGCAAATAACGCACTTGGAGAGGGGTTAATATAAAAGTGAGCAAATTTGTTGATGAAGAAAACCAAAATTGTCTAGGAAATTGCTTTGAGTGAGATTAAGTTTATCTAAATCTTCTATTAACCATGAGAACACAATCTTATTATTTGATTAATGATTAATTTTTTTAAAAGAATTTAAAGATCATAAGTCCAATTAAAAAGCCAGCATTGTGAAAATAAGCCCTATTTTTTTCGTAGTTTATGCCTTCTGGATACAAGCCGCAAAATCAATCAAACCTTTTGGTCACGTTCTCAAATCTTCCGTTAGAAACGCTGCACAAAGCATGTCCTAACTCGCTAGCATTACGAGGAATATTAGACTCCAAGGCTACCAATGCTCTTTTGGAACCTGTCAAATAAGGGCAATTATCTTTATGGTAGTAAGCCCACAAAGTGCCACTAGCGAACTCGGCTGTTCATAACACTGGAATATATTGCAGAGGAGCTTTACCCAAAACAACGCTAGAAGCAGAAAGAATCGCTGTCCATTCCCAAACATTAGGTAAAGTGCGGAAAGTATGTTGAGGGTGCTTATTTAACAATAAACCATCACCCCTGGCTCATCTTACGAATCTTCTCCACATTGGTACTCTTGCTCCATTGTTTCACCAAGGATGGATTACGACTGCCTCAGGAACAGTAACTAGTGGTCATTTTTTTAATTTCAAGCAAAAATCAATGTCTTCACCACCACCAGTCTTTGGGAAGTCTAAATCAAAATTTACATCATTATGCCTCTTTACCAGTAAATTAGCCGTCACGCCCCACGGAGTCTGAGGAAAATGGTCACAAATTGTCCAAAAAAAACTAGTTTGTGCCATATGGACAGCATCGGTAGCTTGCCTGTTATCCCGAGGAAGGATACTTTTTCCCACAAAGCCGTCTTTTTCTGGATTGTTTAATAGGGAATCGGTATAAGCACTGATAATTTTCTCGTCAACTAACACATCGTCATCTAAATACAACACTCAGTCAGAATGACTTTCTTGCATGCCTCTATTTCTCGAAAAAGAAGCGCCCATATTTTGCTCATTTACTCTCACTCTTGCCGGAGCTGCTTTTTCCAAATTTCGCAAATAGTCTATTTGCTCGGGAGAAATGTCCTCAATGTTTCTGTCTACCACAATACTGTTCTCTCGTCTTTCTCAACCGAAACCATCTTATCCAAATAGAATTCATTTACGCGAAAAGAAGGAATTACTACATCCATTGTAACGATATCCGTGAGATTATTGTATTTATTCTTCAACTTAGCCAAAGAATTTTTCAGTATGTCGTCTCGCCACTCAACGTGTACTGGTTCGTATACGGGTTTATTAGTTCTGTTTAGACCATGGGTGACGCCTCCTCGCTTGTTGGTTAGAGAAGAGTCTTTTGTTCATTCGGTACAATTTACTCTTCGATACAGTTCATAGAGGTAAGGGTCGGCATCTTGATTGACAAATTCTTTCGGAAATATTTCTCCAAACAATTCAATATGTTTTCTGTGGACTACCGGAAAAGTAGGAAAATTAGGTGAAGTGTTGTCTTTTAGGCAAACACAACCAACGCCAAAAGACACCTTATTTTTTTCTGATATATCTTGAAACAATTTTACTACTTCTTCATACCAATTTCCAGATATTTCTATATCATCTCCTAATAATAGGAAAAATTCGTATCCTTTTTCGTAAGCTTCTTGGGCTGACTCTCTCCACATTGAACATATTCGCGGTGGTTTTTCAATTGGGTACTTCTTTATAGAAATTTCTTTGGCATTTTTAAAAATAGAGTGCAATTTCTCTTCATCATAATTGTCATCTTCGTCCACTGCCATGAAAAGTCCATAATTTAGACTTCTTGCTTCTTCAAAAGAGGCTAATTTCTCTAAGTCAGCATAACCCGCTAGCTTCAAAGTTGTTGGTAAAATTATTGCTATTTTATTATCCATTTTTCCTTCCTCCTCAACAATCTCTAACTATTATTTGCTGTTTGGTTTCAGAATTTGTTTATTAACTCATTTGTAAAGTTTTTGCAGACCCGTTTTTAAATCTGTTTCAGGTTCTCATCCTAACTTTTCTTTAATCAATTTATTATCGGAATTTCTTCCTCTAACTCCCAATGGTCCGCTAATATGCTTTATTCGCAACTTTTTGTTAGCAATTTCTAACACGTACTGAACTAGTTGATTAACTGAAACCATTTCCTCAGAGCCAATATTTACCGAACCACGAAAATCTTCTGAATCCATTAGTTTTCTTATGGCTTCCAGACAATCATCAATATAGAGAAAAGAACGAGTTTGCTGTCCATCGCCAAAAATTTCTATTTCTTCGCCACTTTCAGCAACTTTCCGACAAATAGCGGCTGGCGCTTTTTCCTTTCCTCCCTTTCAGGCACACTCTGGACCATATACGTTATGTAGCCGACCAATACGAACATCTAAACCATAATCTTTGCCGAAAGACATGTATAGTCTCTCGCTGAATAGTTTTTCTCACCCATATTCGCTGTCAGGCTCAGCTGGATAAACTGAACTTTCTGAACATTTGGGTTCGTCAGGATTCAATTGATGTATAAAGAGGATAAACGCAAGCCGAAGAAGCATAAAAAATTTTCTTTGCCCCTGCTTCTTTACAACTGCGAAGCACGTTCAAATTAATTATTGAGTTATTGTATAAAATATCAGCATCATGTTCTTGGGTAAAAATATAACTCGCTCCTCCCATATCAGCCGCTAGTTGATAAACTTCGTCAAATGGTTCGTTTATATAATCCCGGCAAGTGCTTAGATTTCTTAAATCACAGATTATAAATTCGTCCGCTACGGAATTGCTAAATTCAGGCTTTTTTATGTCTAGTCCGCGAACCCAAAAACCTTCTTTTTTTAATTTTTTCACTAAGTGGTTGCCAATGAAGCCACCAGCACCACAAACTAATGCTCTTTTTGCCATACTTAATAAATTGTCTTGTCTTCCCGCTCTGTGCGAACGCTTTTTTGGCTAACTTTTCTAATTGCTACCTGATAACGTTTATAAATTATTTCAATTTGCGTTTGATAACATTTTAAAAAAGCATCAATTGCGATACGCGGATTATTATACTCTTCTTCAAAATAATCTCACTCGTAATCATCAAAAATGAGAATTCCGTCTTCTTTTAACAAATTTCAAGACAAAATTGCGTCTGCTAAAACATCTTGAGCGTCATGAGAACCATCAATATAAATAAAATCGAATTGCTCTTCTTTTTTGTGATTCAGTTTAGTAAGTGCATCGAAGGACTTGCCTTTGATAATTTCCACTTGATTTTCTTTGCCTGATTTTTGGATGTTTTCCCGAAAAGTCTTCTCGTGGTCGTAACCGCTTCAGAATTTTTCAAAAAGGTCAATTGCTACCAATTTTGATTCAGGACTATTGAACAATTTTTCTAAAATCCAAGTAGCTGACCTTCCTTCAAACACTCCTACTTCTAAAGCATTAATTTTTCGGTTTTTTAAGTGTGCCAAAGTTTTTTCTCACTTAGGAGCATGTGGCCCAAACCAATTAGTAGTGAATTGGTATTTTTTATCTTTTGCTTCTTGCCTTTGTTCAGTTTGCTCTGCTTGAGCAACTTCATAAGTTTTTTCTATAAGCGGTTTTAAAAATTTGTTATTATCTGTCATTAATTAATGCCTCCTTTCCATTCATTATTTTTTGCTATCTTTAAGGCAATAGCAGCCTGGTTTTTTAAATTAATTCCTGTCATAGTATTAATTTCCTTTCGTTTGGTGATTCTTGCCTCCTCACCGAAAATTAGGCATCGTTTGCCAACCCCGCCAATGCGCGCTAGTTGCGGCTGACGACCTCCGACCATTATTGCTTTTTTATCCACTGACAAATTAATCAACGCAATAAAGGATTTAACCACCAGGTGGCCAATGGTTCCCCCAAGAGGCATTACGCATTAAACCTCTTTTTTCCGGTGTCTTGGCTTTCCCACTTTTTACCTAATGGTTTTTGTACTGATTAACTACTAGTTAACAGACTAAAGTTAACAGACTAACGACTGACCCGTTGCTTTTGGTTAATATTTGGTCAGTGGAACGGGTAAGAAATCCGACCAAATATTCTTTCCTGCTTGACTGCGGGGAAAGTCCTTGCTTAGGTGAAAGGAAACAGCTGCTTTTTTACCGACTTCTTTCAAACGCTCCCAAACTTTTTTGCGTTGCTGGCTGGTTAAACAATAACCATTTAAATAGATTTATTATCTATATTATTATTTTACATTCATTTTATTTTTTTATATTAACATTTATCTAAAAATTTAAAAAGTTGGGGTATGGATTATTTGGATAATTTTTCCCTGGCGAGAAATTTGTTTTTTTTCTCTAAAAAATTAATCGATTTTAACAGCATTGGTTTTTCTATAATTAAATTTGCTTTGGCTGTATTTACTCCGTTTTTAATTAATTGTTCTCATTTTATTCAAGGCAATACAGGGATTTTTTTAGCAATTTTTTGGATATCTTTTTGGCTGATTTTAATTGGGGGAATATTGCTTTCCGGTAAGTAAAAATAGTCAGTTTTTTCCCGCTGGGGAATAGTAATTTGTTTTTTTTCGTCAAATCCAAAGGTCTGGCTTGGCGGAGGGGCTTTTTTTTCTTTTCATAATTGGTGGTGTTTATTAATTTCGTATTTTAGAACTTTTTCAATGGCATTAAAGGAATTAAGATTTTTCACTTCGTAGCGAGGCGTTTGGTAATCGTCGGCTAAATTCAAAGAAAAATTTAAATCAACCCGTAATTGCCCTTTTTCCATTTTCGCTTCAGAAATGTCTAAATAACGCAAAAGATTTTGTAACTGCCGGAGAAAAAGAATCGTCTCTTCCGAATTATGAAAAATCGGCTCGGTAGTTAATTCAATTAAAGGATTACCTGCTCGGTTAAAATCTAATTCTATCCCTTCCTCGGTATAAAAAGATTTGGCAGTATCTTCTTCTAACTGCAAATTTCTTAAGGGGATATTTTTAATACCACTAGAAGTAATTAATGGTAAATAGCCAGAATTTGCTAATGTCTGGCGATTTTGGGTAATTTGGTATCCTTTAGGTAAATCATAATAATGATAAATTTTGCGGTCGAAAATAATTATTGGGCTGATTTTTGCTTGTAAAGCCAGAGCCAGTTTCAGAGCCAATTCAACACATTCGGGGTTAATAATCGGCAAAGTTCCTAAATATCCTAGTTCTCAAGAACTAATTTGCCTATTGGGAAGAATATTTTCGGTATAAGTATCAGTTCAATTAAAGATTTTTTTTTTACTTTTGAGGGTAATGTGAACTTCTAAGCCGATTAATATTTGATTTTTCTCTCTCTCCATTCCTTATAAGTAATTTTGGGAAACTAGTTAAAAACTAACTATATATCGCGGGGTAGAGTAGTGGTCCAACTCGGCGGGCTCATAATCCGCAGATCGCAGGTTCAAATCCTGCCCCCGCTACCAAGGCCCAAATGGCGGAATGGTAGACGCAAATGACTCAAAATCATTCGAGCACAAGCTCATATCGGTTCAAGTCCGATTTTGGGTACCAATTGTTTATTAATATTAATACAAAAAAAAAAAAAAGCATTTTTTCAAGCAGACTTTCGGTCATAAAATTATAATGAACGCAAAAGGAAAAAACAGTTTTTTAACTTTTACAATTGTATTTTTGACAAAGAATTTCCCGATTAACTTTACCACTGACTAAACTTTTAATTGGTTCATAAGTTTTCCGATGCAAGGAACAAATTCCATATTGAAAAATTGCTTGTAAATGGATAGGATTAGGGTAGCCTTTATTGTTTTCTCAATCATATTGGGGGTATTTTTTGTGCAAACTTTTCATAATAGCATCGCGGGTAACTTTGGCAACAATCGAAGCAGCTGCGATGTTAATTGATTGACGGTCACCACCGATAATGCTTTGGGTTGGAACGCCGGGAATTAATATTTCTTCTTTGCCGTCGACTAAACACAAGCCAGGTTTATTTTTTAATTTTAAAGCCGCTTCGACCATGGCTTCTTTGGTAGCTTGTAAAGGATTCTTACTTTCTACTTCGCGAGGACTTTTAATTACTACGCTATATTCCAAAGCATTTTTTCTAATGATTCCGTAAGTTTTATTTCTTTGTCAAGGTTTTAAAATTTTGGAATCCTGAATCAGCGGAGAACGAAAATAAGTTGGCAAAATTACTGCCGCAACGACGATTGGACCAGCTAATGCCCCTCGTCCAGCTTCGTCTACCCCGGCAATTAAGTTGTGTTCTTTTCAAAGATTTAATTCAAAATTAAGATTTGTTTTGGTCATTAATTTATTTTTTATTCAGAAAATACTCGGTTTGGAAAGAGAAAAGCCAAAAAATGTCCTTGGAGAAAGCAGAATTTTCTTAGTTAAATTATGGTAAAATTGAATTATATATGAACGAAACAAGCGACCAAAAAGAACAAACTTTTATTATGATTAAGCCAGACGGGGTAGAAAGAGGATTAATTGGGGAAGTGATTCAACGCTTGGAAAAAAAAGGATTTCAAATTACCGCTTGTCAAATGCTTGCTCCTGACCAACAACTGTTGGGAGAGCACTATGCTGAATTAAAAAATAAAGATTTTTTTGCTGAATTAATTAAATTTATGCTTTCCGGACCAGTGGTTGCCATGGTCTGAGAAGGCAGAGGCATTGTTTCTTATGCCCGAAAACTCTTGGGAGAAACTGACCCCTTGATTTCCCCGCTGGGGACTATTCGCGGTGATTTTTGTGTAGATATTGGAAGAAACATTTGTCACGCCTCAGACAGCCCAGAAAGTGCCAAAAAAGAAATTGCTCTTTGGTTCCCGAAAAATAAAGGAATTATTAATTATCAACGGAAATTCATTAATAAATTGCTCTATGAATAAAAAAATTTTGCGTTAGAAAGGCGAATAAAAGAAAAAAATATCACTAAAAACTAAGTAATAAATTTAACTCATAGAATAGTTCAAGCATAAAAATATGAATGAATCACCCATACACAAAGTTCTCAAAAACACTCCCTATGGACTAAATATTTTTGACCCAGAGAAAGTTGGGCAATTAGAAAATAAAATAGTTTGGAAAAATCAAAACCCCTACGTTGTTTGCCTTATAAGGAATAAAGAAATTTTATTAAAACCAGAGGAGATAGTAAGACAGTTATACATTGCTACCTTGATGGAGGATTATAACTATCCAAAATCGAGAATCAAATTAGAACATTCTATCCACTTTGGACGAGAAAAAAAATCAGCCGATATCGTAATTTTTGATAAAGACAGACCCACTGTCGAGTATATTATAATCGAAGTTAAAAAACCAAACGAAAAACTTGGAAAAGAGCAACTAAAGTCTTATTGTAATGCTACTGGTTGCCCCATTGGAATTTGAACCAACGGAAGCCAAATTTTAAAATACAATCGCAAAGATCCCAACTACTTTGAAGAAATAACTAGCATACCAAATTCCGAGCAAAGCCTTTCAGATGTTCTTAGAGAAAGATATACACTTAAAGACTTAATTATCAGAGATAAAATTCCCAATGAAGGCAGGTCTCTTAAGCAAATTATACTATCTTTGGAAGATGAAGTCTTAGCCAATGCCGGAGTTGACGTGTTTGAAGAGGTTTTTAAGTTAATTTTTACTAAACTTTACGACGAAAACCAAAGCAAGAGGGACAAAGAAATTTTGTATTGAGCATTAAAAAATAATTTAGGAAATCACTGGTATCGAGATTTTAATAAAGTAAAAGATTACTTAAATAACTTTGACAATGATAGTGATTTCAGAGTTTTAGAGTTTCGAAATACTGGACAATCGGATACTGAATTAAAGGCAAAAATTCAAAGATTATTTGACTCTGCTAAGCGAGCCTGAAAAGGAATTTTCCCAGAAGAAAGTAATATTGAATTAGCCCCATCACATCTTGCTGTATGTATATCGGGATTGCAAGACGTAAAGTTGTTTAATACCAATTTACAGGTAATTGACGAGGCTTTTGAATATCTAGTAGGTAAATCAGCGAAAGGAGAGAAAGGTCAATATTTTACGCCCAGACACGTCATTGATATGTGCGTAAAAATGTTAAATCCAAAAAAAGGAGAATTCATGGTTGATACTGCTTCTGGTTCTTGTGGTTTCCCAGTTCACAACATCTTTTATATTTTTAATTCACTTTTACATGGCGTGACCGACAAAGAGAAAGATGATATTGAAAAAATATTTGGAATTGATTTTGATGAGAAAGTTGTGCGAGTAGCTAGAACCTTAAATTTAATTGCTGGAGATGGCAATACCAATGTGTTGCATTTAAACACCCTTGACTATGATAGATGGAACGAAAACTCAGAAAGTACAAAATGATCGGACATTTATGGAGAGGGTTTTAAAAGACTAAGAAAACTAAGAAAAAATTCCTCAAATAAAGAGTTTTTGTTTAATGTTCTAATGGCCAATCCTCCTTTTGCGGGAGATATTAAAGAGTCAAGAATTATCCATAAATATGAATTAGGTTATAAACAAAAAGGTGACAAAAAAGAACCAAAAAAACAAGTAGGAAGAGATATTTTATTTATTGAGAGAAATTTAGATTTTCTAAAACCGGGAGGGAGAATGGCAATAGTTTTGCCACAAGGAAGATTCAATAATTCAACAGATAAAGAGATTCGTAAATTTATCGCTACTAGAGCAAGAATTATTGCGGTTGTAGGTTTACATCCTAATACTTTTAAACCTCATACCGGCACTAAGACAAGCGTCTTATTCTTGCAAAAATGAAATAATAATCCTAAGAATGGTGAATTATGTCCTAAGTTAGAAGATTACCCAATTTTTTTTGCTGTATCCGAAAAAGGAGGTAAAGATAATTCCGGAGAATATATTTATAAGAAAGATGAATTAGGCAAGCCTAAAATAGATGGAAACGGACATTTGATTGTTGATAATGACTTGTATAATCATGCACTTAATGATGACAATGATTCGAAGGAACTTAATGATGGGATTGCTGAAGAATTTATAAAATGAGCTAAAAATAATAAATTAAGTTTTTGAAATTAATTATGCGGTTTTCAATTATATACAAAAGTAGTTTAGAAAGAACATTTAGAGTAGATGCTGAGTTTTATAAACCAGATGTTTTGAAAACTTTAAGTCTGCTTAGCAAAAAACAACCTTTAACTAATTATGTTAAAGTAAGCGATGGCAATCATTCAAAAATAACTGAATATTTTCAAGATTATCCAGGCATTCCTTATTACGGAGGAAAAGATATAAGTGCTGGTTTTTTTATTGAAAATGCTAGACCTGTTTATATACCAGAATCGAAATACAACCAAAAACAGATGACTAGATCCCATTTTCTTCCCGGAGATATTCTGCTTACAACGGTAGGAATAGTTGGTAATTTATCGTTAATAACAGATACTATCAAAGAAAGCACTGGTGCTCGTTCGGTTGGGTTTTTAAGGCCTTCATCAGAACTTTCCTCTGAATATATAGCATCATTTTTAATGTCAAAATATGGCTCGATTCAATTAAAAAGAATAGCCAGAGGTAGCGTTCAAGTAAGGATACTATTAGAAGATTTTGACCAAATTCAATTATATCCTTGTTCTAGTAAATTTAATCAAAAGATTAAAGAAATAGTTCAATTATCTATTAAACTTAATGCTATAAGAAAGCAAAAATATTACGAGGCTGAAAAAATTCTATCCAGCGCCCTTGACCTAAATGAATTTAAACCACGACACCAATTAACTTTTACTAGAAACTTCTCAGATACCAAACAAGCGGAACGATGTGATGCCGAATATTTTCAACCAAAATTCGATGAAGCTATTCAAAGAATAAAAAAATCCAAAAATGGATATAAGTATCTTGAAGACCTAACTTCTCTTATAGGACACCCATCTAATCCTCCTTGTGAATTAAGAGATATCAAAGAAAAAACGTTCATTATTACCGAAAAACATCTTAGCGACTATTTTCCTAGCGACAAATTTTGAAACGACCAAGAATCTTCTTATACCACTGATGAATTTGTTAGAAAAAACCAAAAGTATCTGCTAGGCAAAAACGATATCATTGTTTACTCAGTAGGTGCTGACTATGTAGGAAAGGCTAATTTATATAACTCGCCAGTAAGAGCAATTTGTGGAAGTTCTTTAACGCTTATACGTCCGATACAGCAAATAATAAATCCTTATTACTTATTGGTGTTTCTTAATTCTTCTATCGGACAATTATTAACTAGAAGGAATTTAAGAGGTTCGGTTCAGCAGTGTATTTATCCTTATGATACAAAAAAAATACCAATACCTATGTTGGATAAATTAATCCAAGAACAAATCGAAACTACTGTTTGGGAAGGTGAAGATGCATACAACAAATCAAAATACTTATTAAATATCGCAAAAAGGGCGATAGAAATAGCAGTAGAAATAAACGAGGAAGCGGCAAGTGATTTTATTGATGCTGAACTTCAAAAATTTCAATAACCATAGTTATATGTTTGAATAGTTCAGAATTGTTTCCTCAAGTTTTAGATGTACAAATATTCTTAGTAATGAGCAAAAAAGGTTAAAAATTAAATATGACCAGACCACGCTTTTTCACTGGCATCCAAGCTACTGGCACCTTAACATTAGGTCATTATTTAGGAGTAATCAACCACATTTTGCTTTTGCAAGAAGAATACGAGGTAATTGTTATGATTGCTGATTTACATGCGTTGACTGTTCCGCAGCAGGGAATGGATTACCGAAAAAAAGCCGCTGACATTGCGGCTTTGTTATATGCTTGCGGTTTAAAAGAAGACTGTAAAATATTCGTTCAATCGCAAATTAAAGAACATTGTGAATTAACTTGACTTTTAACTCCTTCGGTGACCGTAAGTGAATTAAATAACATGATTCAATATAAAGAAAAAAAAAAGGGTGAGGAAACTGGCAATTTAGCCTTATTGGCTTATCCCGTTCTAATGTCAGCGGATATTTTTCTTTATGATGCGGATTTAGTAATTGTCGGTCAAGACCAGCAGCAGCATTGTGAATTAACTGCTGCCATCGCTCGCAAATTCAATAACTTTTACCAAGCCGAATTGCTAAAATTGCCACAATTTGCTATCCCTCAATTAGGGGGTAAAATTATGGGCTTGCAAAATCCGGAAAAAAAAATGTCCAAAAGTGAAAACGACCATTTGGCTTTACTCGATGAACCTGAAATTGTCAAAAAAAAAATCCAGCGAGCGGAAACAGACTCAGAAAACAAGGTTTATTATGACCCAATAAAAAAAACTGGCATTTCTAACCTTTTGCTTATTTATGCTTTGTTCAAGAAGGTCAGCCCGCAGGAAGCGGAAAAAGAGGTGAGTAATTTAAACTACCACCAATTTAAAACTAAATTAGCAGAATTAGTTTGCGCTAAATTCCAAATTATTCAAGAAAAGTTTCCTATTTATCAAGCCAAAATCACTGGCTTATTGGAAAAAAATCAACATTACTGCCAAAAACTGGCTCAGCAAAAATTAAAAGAGATTAAAAATAAAATGAAATTGCCAAATTAATTAAAACCGCTGACAGTAGCACCAAACGAGACTAAAATTTTTTATCATGTACTACATACCGGTAATTTTTTTCTTGTTAGGATGGCGTTTTTATTATTTTTTATGGTTTTATATGTATAGTTATCCAATTATGGTTTAAATAAATTTTAAGTTTAAAATATAAAAGTAAAAGAGGGCGAGAAAATAAATAAATGAATAAGCAAAAAGAAAAATCGCCGTAAATCACCTACTTTTTTGGTTTTTCTTGCCCTAAATCCACCCATTTAAACCCTTTTAAGTCTTTATTAATACGATAAATAGAGCCTGTGTTCCGGGCGGGGAAATTTAAACCAAAATCTTTATCATGGTAAGCAATCAAGCCAATGAGTTTGCTAAAAAGTAATATATGGATTTAGTGGAATTTTTGGGTAAAATAGCTTTTGGGTTTTTAGCACTTTTGCCTTTGATTCTTACTTTTTGCAATTATTTTACGGTTTTGAAAACTCCAGAGCAAAGAAATAGTTGGCAGGGTGTTCTTTTCTTGATTATTAGTATTATTTATGGTTTATTATGTTTATACTTTTTATGCAAAAATTGAAGCAAGTAGCCAAAATGCCCGTAAAGTTTCCAATACGACTAGCATTTAAAAATACATTATAAAAGCTGGTTTAGCTATAACTGGATAGAGCAGCCGCCTTGTAAGCGGAAGGCTGGGGGTTCGAGTCCCTCAATCAGCACCAAAAAAATCAAAACCTCGTGTTCATTTTAATTTTATTTAATAATGCATTTCGTCTTTGGCTAATAAGTTAAAGAGAGTGTTAGCCACTTTTTCAGCCCCGTACTTTTCGTTTAATTTTTTGACTTTTTCCTTGTTGTTTTGACTAACTTCCGTCTTTTCTATATTATTGATTATTTTTTTCAGCAATTTATCTTCTAAAATTTGGCTGATTTGGCTTTTGTCAGGTAAATTTAGTGGCTCAACTTTGTATCCTTTTTGCCGAGCCAAGGCAAACAACATTTTTTTCTCTTTGGGGGAACTAATAAAAGTTATCGCTTTGCCACTGGCTCCGGCTCTGCCGGTACGACCAATTCGGTGAATGTAAAACTCGGAACTTTGGGGAAAATCATAGTTGATAACGTAAGCAATGTCGTTAACGTGTAATCCCCGCGCTGCCACATCAGTAGCAATTAATAAAGATATTTGCTTAGTTCTAAATTTATTAAAAACCCTGGTGCGGCGGGCTTGGGACAAATCACTGTGAATATAGTCAACTTTTAAATTTTCTCGGCTTAGCACTTCGTTTATTTGCTCCACCCTTCTTTTGGTGTTCACAAAAACAATGACTAATTCGGAACTATGAAGACGAAGAAAATCAACTAAAAGAGAGTTTTTTTTCCGAGAAGCCACTTCTAAGTAATAGTGTTCAATGTGATTTTCGAGCAAATTCTTTGTTTCTCCGCTAATTCGTACCGGATTTTTTAAATAAAGTTTGGCAAACTTGGCTACTGGTGGTGTAATCGTAGCGGAAAAAAGTAAGGTTTGGCGACTAGCCGGGGTCATTTTGATTATTTTTTCAATATCGGCCAAGAAACCTTTATCAATCATTTCGTCAGCCTCATCAAGAATGACAAATTTCAAGTTAGCCGGTTGAAAACTTTTCCTTCGGAGATGGTCAATTATTCTCCCCGGCGTGCCAATTATTACGTCAACACCCGAGCGAAATGAGCGTAATTGATTTTCCATGGAGGTGCCACCATAAACAGCAAGTACCCGTAATTTGCTTACTTGGGATAATTTTTTCGTTTCTTCACTAACTTGTAAAGCTAACTCCCGGGTTGGCACCAAAACTAAAATTTGGGGTTTAGCAAATGGTTCGATTTTTTCCAAGCTGGGGATAATAAAAGCCGCTGTTTTTCCAGTGCCAGTTTGGGACTGGGCAATGATATCTTTCTCTTCCAAAATTAGCGGAATAACTTTTTCTTGAATATCCGTTAATTGGCTATAACCAATGGCTTGTAAGTTTTTTTTTGTTCTTTCTGAGAGCAGATTATTTATTGAGTTCATATTTATTTGTTTCTAGTAAGGATTCGTTAATAATTTTTTTAAGAGTAATCACTAATATTAACGTTTGGAATACTGAGTAGCTTTTCGGGCTTTCTTTAAGCCAATTTTTTTCCTTTCTACTTTGCGGGCATCCCGGGTTAACAGACCAAATCCTTTCAAAGTAGTTCGGTATTCCGGAGAAACTGCCAAAAGGGCTTTGGCTATTCCTAATCTAATCGCTTCTAATTGTCCAGTTGTCCCTCCTCCGGCTATGCGGATTTTCAAATCATAATCATTTTGCTTATTTAAGATTTCCAAGGGTTTCAAAATTTCTTTTTTCGGCAGTAAAGCATTGGTAAAGTATTCATCCAACTTTCGCTCTTCTTTTTTACCCCTTTGGCTGATTTCTATTTGGCCTGTACCACCAGATTTTAAATAAACTGTAGCCCGAGCGGTCTTTCTTCTCCCAATACCAGTATAATAATTATGGTTAGTTTTGTTTGTTTTTATTTCATTCATATTTAATTTAATCTTTGTTAATCTTCTTTCGCATTTTTCTTATTTTCTCCCTAGTTGAGTATTCTTTCGAGATAGTCATAATTATATATTAATTTTAACTAGTTTGACCAAACCTTTTTTATTACCAGGAACGGCTCCTTTTACTAGAATTAATTGCTTTTCGGGAAAAATTTTGACAATGAGGAGATTGCGAACAGTTACTTGCTCATTTCCCAAATGACCAGGCATTTTTTTCCCTTTGGGCACTTTTTGCCGGGTGCCCCGACCACCACCAGCCGAACCCATTGAACGGTGAACTGGACCACCACCATGCGACATGGCACCGAGAGCAAAGCCGTGTCTTTTAATTACTCCCGCAAATCCTTTTCCTTTGGAAACACCCGTAATTTTAATTCTTTCCTTTTCTTGAAAAAGCGAGGCGTCTAACTGCGAACCGACGGAAAAACCAGTCATATCTTTTGCTTCCCGTAAATGTTTATGAGCAGCAATTTTATTTTTGTTTAAATGACCAAGTTGTGATTTATTTAAGACTTTGGTTCGACATTCTTGAAAGGCTAATTGACAAGCAGAATAGCCATCTTTTTCTTGGGTCTTAACTTGGGATACAATATTCGGAGTAACTAAAATTGCCGTGACGGGAATAAACTTTCCTTCTTCCGGGAACTGGGTCATGCCAATTTTTTTTCCGAGCAAACTAATTGTCATATGTTAATTATATTTTTAAAGCCAAGAGCAAAAAACTGATTTAAAATTTTTAATCATTAGATTTTTTTCTGTCATGGTTCAGATAAGTTTTAAACATTCTTATTTTACTTTTTCCCCTTAATTCCTTTTAATTTCATTAATAATCCTCCTACTGTTAGTAAACTCACCGCCAGCAAACCAATTAAAATAATTCTTTCTTTTTGTTGTTGTTGTTGTTGTTGTTGAATTTCTGGTAAACTGGCTAAACTTTGGTTAATATGTTTGCTAATTAATTTGTTTCTTTCGCTAGCCAACTCAGCATAGTTATTAGTTTTTTCAATGCTTTCCTTAATTGCTTCTTTTTTGGCTTGGGGGACAAGTTGAATAATGCTTTCTATGTTAATATCTTTGATTTGTTGTAGCACCAACTTATTCCGCTCTTTGGCTAATTGTTGATAATCGGCTGCTTGTTTATTTAATTCAATTTTTAATTCCTGATTTTCATTAAGTAGTTTCTCGTCAATTTGGATAATTTCTTTGATATTTTCGCCAAAAGGAGTTTTTTCGGTTAATTGTTTTTCTAGTTTAGTAATAGTTTGTTGAGCCTGGCGTAATTCTTCTTTAATAGTTTCATAACCAAGAGTAATTGGCGGTTTTTGGATTAATTTTTCAATTCTAGTAATGGCTTTATTGAGGTCTTTTTCTTCTTTGTCTAGACCAAGTTTGAAAGAATTGTTTAGTTGTTGGACTATTTTTTGTTCTTGTTGGGTTAATTGAGTTTGGTAAGCGTCTCGTTCTTTTTGGGCTTGGTCTCTGTCTTGTTCGGCTTTTTGGCGAGCTGATTTAGTGGTTTGATGTTCTTGTTTTTCCTTCGTTAATTGGTTTTGGAGATTAGTTATTTGACTAGGGTCGGTTGTGGTTTTACTGTGCTTGGCAATAATTAATCTAGCCAGGGAATTCAAAATATCTAACTTTCGATTTTTTAAGTTGGTGATGTTAGAGTTATTAATGTAATCCTGTCAAGTGTTCTCAGCAATTGTTGAGTAATCGCTTTTAAATTGATTATTTAAAACATTATCTTTAATATCCTGCTTATCACGAAAGGCTTCAATTACTCCCTGAGCAGCTTTTTGAGCAGCGTCTATATCAGTAGTTTGCTGTTGGCGAATAAACCCAATTCCTTGGTGAATTAAACCAATGCGGTGAGCTAATTGCTCGACATTAGCACTGGCTTGGAGTCAAGTTTTTCAATTGTCACCAGCGGCAATTCCGGCATTTTGCGGGTGAGTATTTAACCAAGTTTTTAAATCGGCATCACTTACTCGTTGTTTTAGGTTAGTATTGGTTAAATCTTGGGCGTTTTCAATGTTAGTTTGTTCGGTGTTTTTCGCGGTGGTTAAGTCGGCTTCGAGGGCTTTAATGCCTTCCACAATCTTTTCGCTGCGTTGGCTTAACTCTTCGGCGGTAGTGGCTCCTTGTAAATAAGTCTTTCAAGTGTCGGCTTGGTTGGTAAAGTGAACGCCGTTGTTGCCTAACCAGGTTTTTAAAGCGGCGTTGCGTTCAGCGTCAGTAGCCCCCGGTACTTTGGTTTGGGCTAAAGTGTTTAAACGGGTTTCGGTGCTGGTTTTGGCGGTGGTTAAGTCGGTGCGGATTTTTAAAATTTGTTCTTTCCAATCAATTGGTAAATTATCATTTTCTTTAAGCCCAAAGATTTTGGTTTTGATTTCTTTTATTAGTTTAACGTATTCTCAGGATTGACTTTTCCAGCCCGTCAAAATTGTTTCTCAATTTTCGTCCAAATCTTCGTCTTCCTCGGTTCCGAGAAGGTTTTTTAATTTTTTTTCGTATTCTTCGGACTTATCACTATTCAATTTAGTAGTTAATACACTCAAATTATCTTCAACTGCTTGGAGAGATTTTTCAATAGTGCTATTTTGAGCAATTTTGCTAATTCTATTTTCTTCAACACCTTTACTTATCAAGGTTTGAACCATTGAACTATTGATTTCTTTAATTTTATTATGACTAGCAATATTTTCGTTTAGGAGGTCAAGCAACTTTTTTAACTCGCCTTCATCAAAATCGCCTTTTTCATCACCCTCTTTTTTAAAAATTTTAAAGGTTTTATCAATCTGATTCAAAAATTCTAGTCGTTTGTTGATTTGTTGAGCTGCTCTTTTGTCAAATACTTTTTCATTATCTTTATTTTTTACAATTACGGGTAAAAATAAACCATTGATAAAAAAATTTTTTTGTTGGGCTAATTTTTTTTTGTCCTGGTTGATGCTTTGAACGTCTTTCTCATCTGTGTCTATAATTTTGTCAAGTAGTTCATCAAGTTCCCTGATTAGGTCATTTTTTCTGTCGATTAACTCATTGCTTGCTTCATTTTGGGCTTCGGCATTTTTCAGGTCTTTTTTAAGTTGTTTAACTTCATCATTTAAACTTTCAACTTTCCGGTTGGCATCAGCTAAATTTTTCTTTTCTTCTCCCAGGTCTTCTTCTAGTTCGGTGATTCTATTTCCTAATCTTGTTTTTTCTGTTCTAAGACTAGTTATTTTGTTGTTCAATGCGTCGATTTGGTCATCTTTTTCTTTAATTTTGTCTTCATATTTGATAATAACTTTATTGGCTTTCTCTAACTCTTTATTGGCTCTCAATATTTTTCCTCTTAAATTTGTGATTGTTTTTTCGTAAATTTTCTCTATTTCATAATGACCTCTCCGAAAGGAGTTTCAAGCTTGTTTGTCCATCATGGTTTCTCAGGCCATGTTATCTAGTGTCGTTTCTGCCGACTCCATTTCTTGCTGAATTGTTTCAATGGTTCTTTCGCCATCCTCTTCGTCTTGACCGCCGCGTGTGCTAATTTCTTCTTCTTCTTCTTCTTCTTCTTCTTTAATATATACTTTATATATGTCACTATTTCTTCTCCTTTTTTTTAACTCTTCAAGGCTGGCGTCTAATGCGTCAGTGGCGATTTTCAGTTGGGCTAGTAAATCTTTGAGGGTGCCGGTTTTATTTCCTTGGGCTAACTCTTTATCTATGTCTTTACCGGAAGCGATAGTGTGCCTTCTAGGGTCTGACGAGCTGGTAGCAGAAGAAGAGGGAGGAAGGTCCCCAAAACTTTTGCTTTCAATTGGTGATGCCACGGTGAAACTGACGGAAGGGTCAATATTTTGTCATAATTCTTTTAATTGATTAATTCGGTCTTCTTTAAGTAATGGATTAATTCTTTGAGATTTCTCTTGTAGCCTGCCATTCTCATCAAAGTATGAATAACAACCAAGTCAAAGGTTTTTTCGGCAAATATCTTCAACTGTTTCGAAATTAGCGAAAGTAAAATTTCTGTTTAATTCATCAATGGCGTCTCGCAAACCAAAAGGAACTTCGCCGTGAGAATCTGGGATGTGTTTGAATAATTCATACTTTTCGCATTTTATTTCAACTTGACCGGTTTCTAATAAACTTGTGAAAGTTTCTAAAGGACTTATTTTCCTTGTGCCGTTAATGCCTTCTTTGATTAGTTTCAACTCTCGTAAGAATTCCCTTTTCACTCTGGCGAAATTGTCTTCCAGGTCTTTTTTCCTTGCTTCTTCGGCATCTTCCGTTATAAAAGAAAAACTCATGTCTTCGGGGTCGTTATCTCAAACAAATTCTCCGTCTCTGACAAAATGGCGAATTGGGTCAATTCCGATATGCCCAGCGTCCCTAATTATTTCAGCAATCTCAGCCGAAATTTCTTGAATAGCTTCTCCTAATGGGTTAGGTTCAGAAAGTTGGTGAATGTCCGTTAATTCATTTGCGAGAATTCTTTCGACCTCTGCGGCGGTGTATTTATTTAAAAAGTCTTGGTAAATGTTGATTGCCTTGTTAGCAGTTGTTTCACTAAGTCTCAAAACTTCATCTCTTGTTTCTCATAATATGTAGGTGGAGGAGGGGATGCCATAATTACTTCTCACTTTTCCGTCTCCTCAGTAAATTAAATCTATTTTTTTGTATAATTCGATAAAATTTTCTTTATCTACCTTTTTCATTCACTCTTTTGCTAGTGTACTACCATAATTATTGTCTGGTAATTTTTTACCCTCTTCAATTAGATTAATTATATAATTTAAGGCTACATCTTTTAGTTTTTTTGGTTTAACTTTTTTTTCGTCTCTTACTCATTTTTTAAAATCGTTTGTATCGTATCTCGCCATTCTTTTATTTTTATATATAATTTTTTGTTTTGAACTTATTAAATAATTTTCTAAATTAGCAAAAGGGACATTCTTAATTTCCGCTTGAAATTCTTTTGTAAGGCGGTCAATAGTTTCTTTTTCTTGACCGCTATTTTGTAAATAATCATTTCATTCTTGGAGAATATTTTGAACTTTATTTAGATAAATATTTTGGGCTAATTCTTCCATTTTTTGTAGATAATTTTCCGCGTCCCGTTTTTGTTTTAGATTAGGAATTTCCGTTTCGAGCTCGCCGGCAAGTTTTTCCACTTCTTGGTAAATTTGCTCCCTGGTGGCTTTCACTTCGCGGAGGATTTGGTTTTTTTCTTTGCTTAAACAATTATATCGATAGTCGCTGGCGTTAAGATTAGAGGTTGGGTAATTTACTCGTTGAATGAATTGATTAATTTCGTCACGAATACAATTATTAAGCAGATTGTTTAAAATTGCTTTTCTTCCCTCTTTTTCGCACTCTTGCTGAGGAAGAAGTTGGATTAATTGCAGAAAAGCCTTTTTATATTGGCGTAAATCTTCGTTAATAAGGTCTGCTAACCAGGTTGCCATTTCGGGGGAAGAAGGAGCTTTTTTAGGGTCAAAGTGATTTCTCAATAAATTTCCGGCTCCTTCTGTTACTTTTTCTAGGTTAGAATCAAATTCAGGGGTAGCAGTCGGTATCAATCTTTTTATTTCTTCGGCTCAACCAAGCAGTGCCGCGATTTTGCTCGCTATGTTTCCCATATTACCACGTGGAACTCCTTCGCTTAATTATTCTCTGTAAAAATAAATTTGTTATGTGTGTGTGTGTGTGTGTGTGTGTGCTTGTCATTTCATGTTAATATTATATAATATATAATTGAATTTTAAACAAATTAAACAAAACTTACCTCTAATAATGAGAAATTAATCGGGCAACTCTAAAAGTTTCCAAAAAAAATTAAATGCTTTTGTAATTAATCATTTTCCGGGCACGCTTTAAATCGCTTTTCGCTAAAAGGGAAGACTTTCGCAAGTGCCTTTTTTGTTTAGTAGATTTATTGCCAAACAAGTGAGAAGTAAAAGCACTTTCTCTTTTTAAATTGCCATTGGCTGTGCCTTTAAACCTTTTATGAAAAGCTTTTTTTGTTTTTAATTTAACGACCATAATATTATTTTTACTTGCTTTTTTGAAGAAGGAAACTGTAAATTTTCCCTTGGAGTTTGATTTTCCCTTGGAGTTTGATTTTTTCAGATTGAGTTTGTAAATCAGTAATAATCTTTTGGCACTTTCCTAAAACCAAGTCTTGGTGTTCTTTTTCCCGGCCAGTCATTTTTAAACTAACTTTTACTGAGCAGCCACTTTCTAATCATTTTTTAATTTGTTTAATTTTAGTCCCTAAATCTCCTTCGCCAATGTGGAAAGTTAGCCCAATTTTTTTGAGAAGAGGCTTTTGGCTAATTTTTTTTTGAGTTTTGGCTTTTTTGCTTGCTTCAAAAAGGTGTCTTTGGTAATCAACTATTTTGCAAACTGCTGGATTTTTTCCATTTGGTTGACGAAAGCAAACTAGGTCTAGTCCTTGTTCTTGAGCTTTCTTTAAGGCTTTTTGCTTGGAAATGACTTCATTTTCTTTCTCGTCAATGTTTCCCACTAACAAAACTTCCGCAAAGGGTATTTGCTGATTAATCATGTATTGAGGAGAAGATTTTTTTTCGTTTTTTAATTTCAGCACCATTTACAACAAATTATATTTATATTTTAAGGTTTTGTTTTGACTTCCGCAGATTCTAATCCCATAGATTTTAAAATTATTCTGGCACTAGCAAAAGGTGTGTTTTTATCGGTGTCAACTTGAAGTTTATATTCCCAATCTAAATCTTCTATTTTAGCATATTGAGCACGAGCAAGCCCTCAAGCCCGATCTCCGCGAATTTTTTCCCTTTCTTCCATTAAAGACAATTCGCAGGTTACCTTTACAAAGCAAACTTGATGACCTTTCAAAAACAAAGCATAGTTTTCTAAACCTGTTCTTTCCCAAATCACTTCATCAATAATCAGGTTATGACCGTCATCCACTAATTGCTTAATTATTTTCGGAATTGATTTGCCGACTTTATCGCCATAAGAACCAGATTTAATTTCCATGATGGGAAACCCCTTTCTGTCAACTCCCGGCACAAATTGAATTCCTTCGTCAGCTTTTTCTCCAAAAGGTAAATATTTAGGAGGCATGGCTTTAAAAAGTGTGTCCACCCCAAAAGTTAATCAAGGTTCGTTACTCAAATACTGGATGGCTGCCACAATAGAAGTTTTTCCGGCTGAGGAACAGCTATTCAGAAAAATAATTTTGCTCATATAATAATATTAATTATTTTTACTTACTTTTTTGAAAATTTGGGAAACAAAATTTAACAACTTTTAAAATTATCTTCGTGCCTTTTTGGGAAAATGACAGACGTGCTTGTCGCCAAATCAGAAAAAGGAATATTTTTCTCAGCAAAATTGGTCTCCGTGCTTTCTTCCTCGCAAAATCGCTATCTTTAAGTCGCAAATTACTTTTATTAAGCAAACTGACTAGCGTTAGTAATTCCCTTATTCAGAGAAAGGATAAAAATATTTTTTTGACATAAAAAATGCGAGAGATACCAGAATAATAGGAAAAACAATTATTACTAGGAAACAAATTAATCCACCTTTTTTTCCACATATCACTTATAATTTCCCACCATTTTTTAAAAATATTATCTGCCAAAAAACCATCATTTAAGAAGATATTATGTTTTTTTTTATAAAAAATACTGGCAGCGAACTATTTTCCCTGTTAAAAGTATCTTCGCCACAGAAGTGCTTGACTGCCGTATTCGGAATGGGAACGGGTATTGCCACTTCGTTAGAACCACCAGTATTATCAAAGAGGGTTTTATTCCCTCAAAACCGAACACAAAAGAAAGAAATTCAACCAAAAAATAAGTCCTCGAAAAATTAGTACAACTTAGCTCTAAACAGATTACTCTGCTTGCACTTGGTGCCTATCAACCTCCTAGTCTAGAAGGTATCTTACTCCCTTTCGGGATGGGAAATCTCATCTTGGGGTTAGCTTCACACTTAGATGCTTTCAGCGTTTATCTATTCCTAACATAACTATCCAGCCGTGCCATTGACATGACAACTGGTACGCCATTGGTTAGTCCATCCCGGTCCTTTCGTACTAGGGACAGCCCCCCGCAAATTTCCTGCGCCCGCAATAGATAGGAACCAAACTGTCTCACGACGTTCTGAACCCAGCTCACGTTCCTCTTTAATGGGCGAACAGCCCAACCCTTGGTAGCTTCTTCACCACCAGGATGAGAAGAGCCGACATCGAGGTGCCAATCCTTTTCGTCGCTATGGTCGCTTGGAAAAGATAAGCCTGTTATCCCCGGGGTAACTTTTATTCGTTGAGTGCCGACCTTACCACTAAGCATCGGCAGATCACTAAGTCCTACTTTCGTATCTGTTCGACTGGTCAGTCTCACAGTTAAGCATCCTTCTGCCTTTACGCTCGTCACAGGATTTCTATTCCTGCTGAGGATACCTTTGAACGCCTCCGTTACTTTTTAGGAGGCAACCGCCCCAGTTAAACTACCCACCAAACACTGTCCTTTTGGCGGTAAAGCCAATAAGTTAGACTTTTTTGCTAAACAGAGTGGTATCTCACCGTTGACTCCGTTGATTCTAGCGAACCAACTTCACAGTCTCCCACCTATCCTGCACAGTTCAGAAAAAAAGTCAATATCAGGTTGCAGTAAAGCTCCACGGGGTCTTTCCGTCTAGTTGCGGGTAACCTGCATCTTCACAGGTACTAAGATTTCACCGAGTCTATGGTTGAGACAGTGCACGAATCGTTACGCCTTTCATGCGGGTCAGAACTTACCTGACAAGGAATTTCGCTACCTTTGGACCGTTATAGTTACGGCCGCCGTTCACTGGGGCTTCAATTCAGAGCTTCACCTTGCGGCTAACCCCTCCTCTTAACCTTCCAGCACCGGGCAGGCGTCGCCCCCTATACATCGGATTACTCCTTAGCAGAGAGCTGTGTTTTTGGTAAACAGTCGTTCGTGCCTCTTAACTGCGACCGGTGTTTTCACCGGCACCCCTTCTCGCGAACTTACGGGGCTAATTTGCAAAGTTCCTTAACCATAGTTATCTCGCTTGCCTGAGGATATTCTCCTCGACCACGTGTGTTCGTTCTCGGTACGGGTAACATTATTATTTTTGGTCGAACCAAACTTAGAAGCTTTTTTTAGAAGCAAAGTATCAGATACTTCGGTACTTAGCGAACCTTTCCCTATCCATCATACTTCAAGGTTATGCACCACGGATTTACCTATGGTGCCCTCTACATACTTAGACCAACACATTCAGCAGTTGGCTTATCTTAACTGTCTCCGTCACTCCGTCAGTAATAATGTTAGTACAGGAATATCAACCTGTTGTCCATCGACTGCACTTTTCAGTTTGGCCTTAGGTCCCGACTAACCCAGGGAAGACGAACTTGACCCTGGAAACCTTGGTCATACGGCAAGAAGGATTCTCACCTTCTATCGTTACTCACGCCGGCATTCTCACTAGCAAAATCTCCACTAATCCTCACGGTTTAACTTCATCGTTTTTGCTACGCTCCCCTACCACTAAAAGGCATTGGTTAATGATTAAGAAAATTAATTATTTGCTAAAATTCTGATCTTTTACTCAATGTCGCTAATTAATGCCTTTTAGTTCATAACTTCGGTATAATGCTTGAGCCCCCTTACATTCTCGGCGCAAATTCCTTCGGCTAATGAGTTGTGACACACTCCTTAGATAATGGCTACCTGTAGGCCAATATTTTAGCTGTCTAAACGAATTCACTTCCTTCCACACTTAGCATTATTTAGGGACCTTAGTTGATGATCTGGGCTGTTACCCTCACGTCCAGGGACCTTATCACCCCCAGACTGACTGCCAGATAAGGAGTAAAGGTATTCGGAGTTTGATTATAGTCGGTACCCAGTTAAGGGCCCTTCTATATTCAGTGCTCTACCTCCTCTACTTTTCGTCTGACGCTAGTCCTAAAACTATATCGGGGAGAACCAGCTATCTCTAGGTTCGATAACAATTTCAGCTCTAATCACAAGTCATCCAAGATCGTTTCAACGAGCACTGGTTCGGTCCTCCATGGGGTTTTATCCCCACTTCAACCTGCTCATGATTAGCTCACCTAGTTTCGGGTCTATAATCACTGACTTAACGCTCTATTAAAACTCGCTTTCGCTGTGGCTCCACTTCGCAAGAAGTTTAACCTTGCCAATGATTATAACTCGCCGGCTCATTCTACAAAAAGCACGCCATCAGACTTTAACGTCCTTTGGCTTTTTGTAAGTGTGATGGTTTCAAGTTCTCTTTCACTCCCCTTCCGGGGTTCTTTTCACCTTTCCCTCACGGTACTAGTTCACTATCGGTGATTGATGAGTATTTAGCCTTGCGGGGTGGTCCCCGCTGTTTCCAACAAGGTTTCACGTGTCTCGTTGTACTCAGGATTAAACACAGAGAATCATTAATTTCGAATACAAGGCTTTCACTCTCTTTGGCTTGGTTTTCCAACACAATTCTTCTATCAATAATTTTGGTAACTCTTAATGTATTTTCCTACAACCCCAATTAGTAAACTAATTGGTTTGGGCTTTTCCCCTTTCGCTCGCCGCTACTCAGAGAATCATTATTTATTTTCTTTTCCTCTGGCTACTAAGATGTTTCAGTTCGCCAGGTTCGCTTCTAAGCATTATGAAACTTAGATATTGCCACGTTACTGGCAATAGGTTGTCCCATTCGGAAATCCCCGGATCAAAGTTCACTTTCCAACTCCCCGAGGCGTATCGCCGGATATCGCGTCCTTCCTCGCCTATCAATCCCAAGGTATCCACCATCCACTCTTTTTCACTTACGCTATTTGGTGAAATCTTTTTTTGTGTTCAGTTTTCAAAGAATAAACGAGAGATAAAATCTCCCAAAACTAAATAGAACCTTTCGAAAAAACCTTTCTATATTGAAAGGAGGTAATCCATCCGCAGATTCCCCTACGGATACCTTGTTACGACTTAATCCCAATCGCCAATCCTACCCTAGTCAACCACTTCCCTTGCGGGTTAGTTAATTGGTTTCAGGCATTACCGACTTTCGTGATTTGACGGGCGGTGTGTACAAGACCCGAGAACATATTCACCGTGACGTTGCTGATTCACGATTACTAGCGATTCCGACTTCATGGAGTCGAGTTGCAGACTCCAATCCGAACTAAGGTTAGTTTTTTGGGATTGGCTCCCCCTTGCGGGTTGGCGACCCTTTGTCCTAACCATTGTAGCACGTGTGTAGCCCAAGGTGTAAGGGGCATGATGATCAGACGTCATCCTCTCCTTCCTCTAAGTTATCTTAGCAGTCTATTTAAAGTTCTCAACTAAATGATAGCAACTAAATATGAGGGTTGCGTTCGTTATAGCACTTAAGCGTACGCTTCACAGCACGAACTGACGACGACCATGCACCACCTGTGTCGGGATAACCTCCGTTGAGTTTCTTCAACTTTGCCCTCCATGTCAAACCTTGGTAAGGTTCTGCGCGTCGTATCGAATTAAACCACATGCTCCACCGCTTGTGCGGGTCCCCGTCAATTCCTTTGAGTTTTAGCCTTGCGGCCGTAGTACCCAGGCGGAGCATTTAAAGCGTTAGCTGCGACACTAAGCAAAATGCCTAATATCTAATGCTCATCGTTTAGGGCGTGGACTACCCGGGTATCTAATCCGGTTTGCTCCCCACGCTTTCATGCCTCAATGTCAGGAACAGAATAGTTGACTGCCTTCGCCTTTTTTGGTGTTCCTCTGCAGATCAACGCATTTCACCGCTCCACACAGAATTCCATCAACCTCTCCTGCCCTCTAGCTGAACAGTATTGCCAGCTTCCGCCAAATTGAGTTTGGCATCGACCAATAACTTATTCTACCATCTACGCATCCTTTACGCCCAATAATTCCGGATAACGTTCGCCACCTATGTCTTACCGCGACTGCTGGCACATAGTTAGTCGTGACTTTTTGCTCGGATGCAAGTTTTAAGGAGTACATCCAAGTAAAGAAGTTTACAATCCGTAGACCTTCATCCTTCACGTAGCATTACGCGGTCAGGGTTGCCCCCATTGCCGACGATTTCCCATTGCTGCCTCCCGTAGGAGTAGGAGCCGTGTTTCAGTCCCCTTGTGGCCGATCAGCCTCTCAGCCCGGCTACGCGTCATTGCCTTGGTAGGCCTTTACCCCACCAACTAGCTGATGCGACTTATCCCCGTCATTTAGCGAAAGCCTTGCGACTTCCTTTCCTAGCCGAAGCCAGAATATGCGGTATTATTCCCCCACTAAACGGTAGGTAAGATAAGCATTACTCACCCGTACGCCGCTAAAAGCAATATTGCTATCACTTTTCGCTCGACTTGCATATGTTTAGCATGCTACCAACGTTCATCCTGAGCTAGGATCAAACTCTTAAAAAAAATTAGCACGAGAATTCACCCGTACGTGATTGGTTCTATTTAGTTTTCAAAGAGTTATCATTCATTTTTTTCTCATTGAAGGAAAAACGAACAAACCCAAAACTTCTATAATATATTTTTAGTTAGCAATAAATTTGAAAGTACAAAGTGGCACCCATGGCGTGAGTTTTTCCTTTTGTAATCAAAAGATTATTTACGCTGTTAAAAAATCTCAATAATTGAAAACTTTCTAATAAGAGAGAGATTACATAATTATCTTTAGTTTTTTTGCTGTTTGAACTAAATCAATTGGTTTTTCCTTGCGGACAGTTCAAACGAATCCTTGGTCTTTTTGGTATTTCGGAATAATATGGATATGTAAATGAAAAACACTTTGGTAAGCCACTTCATGCATGTTAATAATAACATTAAATCCTTGGGGTTGAAAGGCATTTTGCAATTTATCAATAATACTTTTTAGCAAGGGCAAGAAATATTTTCAACTTTTTTCGTCAACTTCGGCAATATTAGCAAAATGGTTTTTAGAAATAAGCAAAACATGTCCTTCACTGGCTGGATAAGCGTCTAAAATAACCAAAACTTCCTCATTCTCAGCAATAATGTAGGCGTTTTTTTCTCGTTTAACAATTTCACAAAATAGGCAATTTGGCATAATAATTATTTTACTTCTCGCGGGTCTCAATCACGTTTTTCTTTCTTTTAATCGCTTTTTTTGGACATTTTTTGGGCACTATCGATTAGACGATAATCCTATTATAAAGCATATTGAAACGTTTGCTTGCCAAAACAATAAGTGAAAAAAAATGAATATATGGATGATTGGCGGAAAGAGTTTCCCATTTTTAAAAAACAAAAGGGATTAATTTATTTTGACAGCGCAGCGACTAGTTTAAAACCCCAAACCGTAATTCGAGCCATCAATGATTATAATCAAAAATATTCCCTTAATTCCCATAGTGAAAGCAGCAGCCCCTTATTTAAAAAAGTGTGAACAACTATTCGGGAAACTAGAGAAATAATTGCTCAAAAAATCAATGGTCAAGCCGAAGAGATTAGTTTTTTGCCTTCTACTACCCACGCCTTGAATATTCTGGCTTTATCTTTAAAAGATTGTTTGCAAGAAAGAGACCGAATTGCCCTGACTTACCTTGAACACAGTTCCAATCTTCACCCTTGACAAGCCATTGCCAAGGAAAAAAAAGCTAGAATCGACTTTTTGCCTTTAAATAATGAACTTACTATTGACATTGGCCAATTAGATAAATACATTAGCAAGAGAACCAAAATTGTTAGTTTTGTGCACGTGAGTAACAGTTTAGGAGTAATTAATCCAGTAGCAGAGATTACCCAAAAAATTAAAAAAATCAATCCTGATTGCTTAATTATTTTAGACGCTTGCCAGAGTATTATTCATGTTCCAATTGATATAGAGAAATGAAATATTGATGCTTTGGCTTTGTCAGGGCATAAAGTTTACGGACCGACGGGAATTGGTGTGCTTTGAATAAGAAAAGAGTTGGGACAAAAGTTGCCTCATTTATTATGAGGAGGTGGCAAAAAAATTGGACCAATGGAGAAAAATACTGGTCAAAACTTACCTTTGTCGCAAAAAATGGAAGTAGGAACTTTGCCCCTGGCTGAAATTTTTGGCTTAAAAGCTGCTTTTGAATTTTTAAATAAACTTGGCACCGAAGAAATTTACGAATACGAAAACAATTTGCGTAATTATGCTCTCCAAAAGTTAAAAAAATTAAAAGACATGAATATTTATAATCAAAACTTAGTCTCGGCGAATATTATTACTTTTAACTTATCACCTTATCATGCTCACGACCTAACTGATTACTTAGGAAAGAACAATATTCTCATACGTGCCGGGAATTTTTGCTGTCCTTATTTAACTAAATTGATTGGCACTAATTCTGCTTTAAGGATTTCTTTTGGCGTGTATAATAATTATGATGATATTGATGAGTTAGTTTCACATTTGCAAAAAATTATTCAAGATTCCTCAATCTTATTGCCATTTTAACAACTTTTAAAACCATCCGTCAAAAAAATGGACATACATTTCTGACTGAAATACGATAAAAAAATTAATAATTTAGAAAATGAATTAAGAGTATCCTAGAAAAACGACCATCTAAACTAAAATTATAGATTTAAACTAATTGCTTAGTTGGTTTGCCCAACGAACCTCTATATTGCTGCCATGCTAGAAAAAATTAACCAATCGTTCATTATAAAAAACTTAATTGATTTAGAGCAATTAGCCGAATTGATTTTACCTTACCTCCAGCCCAATATTTTTTTACTTTTACAAGGAGGTTTAGGAGTAGGAAAAACCACTTTGACCCAGACACTCGCCCAAAAACTAGGAATTAAACAGACAGTAAATTCACCCACTTTTACTATTTTGCAGCAATATAAAATAAAGAAGGATTATTATTTAAACCACTTTGATTTTTTTCGTTTAACTTCACAGGATGACCTTGCTATCTTTGCGGAATTAACGGCTAATAATTTAAATGTCGTTGAATGACCTGAAAGAAACTCCCAATTTTGGCAAAGTGAAAAATACATTTACTTAATTTTTAAACTTCAATTTTTTCAAGAAAAAGAGTCAAGGTTAGTCGAAGTAAAATGAAATATCTAAAAATGCTTTTTACGGTGTTATTATGGTGACAAGAATAGGGTTAAGAGTTTTTTGTGCTAAAATTAAGCAAAAATAAAAGCAAAAGGAGAAAAAATAGTTATATGAAAAAAAATCTCCACAGTTCTCTTTATTTGATAAATTATTATTGTATTTCTTGCCATGAGGAGTACCAAAATTATTCCACTGCTTCAGAAAACAAAAACGTAAGCACTTGTGCTAATTGTAGTCCGGCTTATAAAGGAGGAACTTCCGGCAAAGTAAGAATGGGAAGAGCAGAAAAGTTTCACCAAAGGCAACAAAAAGCCCAAGCCAAGGCGGAAGCAAAGACCAAATAATCAATATCAACTTTATTCTTCTTCCGCTGATTGGTCAATTTTCTTAGCTTGACAACTTTTGCAGAAAGGAAGGTAATTCCCGGAACTGTTGGATTTAACTCTTTCTCCTTTTGGACCAGGCAAAAGTTTTTGAAAATAGTCAAGGGAGTGCGGAATAGTTTTGCGGCACCCTAAACATTTAGTATTGGCACAATCAAAACAAATTACTCCTTCCCTTTCTTCTTTATTAATGTAGTGGGGGGTATCAAATATTTTAATTTGGCATTTATCGCAAACTAGGTCGTGAAACTCTTCGCGGCAATTTCGCGAACAAAATTGATTACCTTGTTCATCAGTATCTTTACTAAAAAAGCTTCACCAACTGAATTTTTTGGCACAAGTTGCGCATTGATTTTTGCTTTCTATTGGTAATGATTGAGCATTAGAAACCGCATTTAATTTTTCCCAAGTCAATTCTTCCGAAGGCAAGCGAAAGTTGCTAATCAATTTTTGGGCATATTTCCTTTTCCGGGGAGGGATTAACTTCAATAACTCGTTACAAATGATTTGAATTATTTGTTTCAAATCTCTTTTGTCAAAATGGTCAAGTTCGATTTCGTAACACTCGTCTTCCGTCAACTCTAACTTTTGCCTTTTTTTCATTCAAGCATAAAATTTTGTTCTTTTGCTGTAATTGGCTGCTTCTAATTTCTTTCGCAAACTCTTGCATTCATTGAGTAGCGATTGGAAATTATCAACAATAAATTCTTTATTTTTTTCCATTTTTCCTTATATATACTTTTTAGCAAACTGAAACTTAATATTTTGCTGAACGATAAGTCAAGCAAGCGGGGCAAATTCGGTGAGGTTTTTTGATTTGTTGACAATTATTGCATTTAATTAAAGTGCTCGTTGCTCTTTTTTGAAAATTAAGATTGCTTACTGTGTGTCTTTGTTTTTTCTTTTTGGAAGAGGTTCGACGAAAGGGAACTGCCATATATAGTTATTTTTACAAGTTCTTAACTAACTAACCATCCTAGGAACTAAAAAATTAAAATCTCCTGCTCCTCAATTTGCCTTCGGATTATGTAAAAATAAAGTTATAAAGAAGAAATATGATAAATTGAACAGACATTCGTTTTGATTTTACTAAAGCATTACAAAAAGAGTGAGAAGATTTAGGATTTGATTACAGCCAAACCGAAGAGTGAATCGAAAAAGGCGGTCTAGAACCCGAAGATGCTAAACTTGCTTTTTTTTTAAAAACCCAAGGCTATAGCCCCGAGAGCATCGATGATGAAGAACTAGATTTAGATTGATACAGACAAGAATCCTTAGGCAGAAAAACTTCCTTGAAAAGAAAATCTTATCCGGAAAGAATGAACTTTCATTATTCAGAGCCTGAATTGGAAGACTGGAAAAATGTCCATCCAGATTTTACTTCAGAATTAGCTCAAACTTGGCAATCTCTTGGTTTTTCTTACGAGCAATGTCGAGAGTGAATTAGTATTGGTTTGACTCTTTCTGACTTTTATTTTTGTCAGTGGTTGAGGGACAGCAAAAAGTTAGATAGTGAAGAAATATTAAATTCTTGAAACGTTCAAATTTTGCGAGAAGAATTTGCTAATTATCAACAAACTAAAATTATCCAAATTAAGTAATAATTTTCGAAAGAAACAGGTAGTCTGCTTAGCAAAAGCGATAACCAGGCGGAAAAACCCGAAGCACACAAGAACACAACTCACACAATTATGATAAAAAACAAATCGCACAATAAAGTCCGCTTATTATTGACCGAATAAAAAATGTTCACTAGTGGTAAAAATAATTAATATATGCCAATTATTAATAGTTCCCAAACTGACCCTAACAAAATTCTCCCCATGACTTATCCTTGGGCTTGAAGATATTATAAAAATGGGGTTGCTAATAATTGAACTCCGGAAGAAATCTCAATGCAGATAGACGTTGAGCAATGAAAGGCCAAAGATTTTCTTAGCCCGCAAGAGAGAAAATTAATTCTGCGTAACTTAGGTTTTTTTTCCACGGCTGAAACCCTGACTGCTAATAATCTTGTTTTGATATATATTAATGTAACTAATCCTGACTGCCGGATCTACCTTGGACGACAAATTTTCGAAGAAGTAATTCACACTGATACATTTGTTTATTGTTGCGATAGTTTAGGATTAGACCCAGATGAAATATATAATGCTTACCAATCGATTCCTTCAATTAAAGAAAAAGACGATTTTGTAATTGAATTAACAAAATCAGTGCTTGATCCGCAATTCCGGGTCAATAAGGAACTATCTGCCTTAGAAAAATTGAATGAAGAAATTAGAAAACTAGAAAAAGAAATTAAAACAAACCCAAGCGAGGCGAAAATAATTGAATTAGAACAAAAAAAAGAGCAAAAAGAAAAAATACTACTGCGACACCAGAATAACGTTAAAATTTTCCTTCGCAACTTAATTGGGTATTACGTGATAATGGAAGGAATATTTTTCTATGCCGGATTTGCCATGATTCTAAAATTAAGAAGGAGTAAGAAAATGGTCGGTATTGGCCAACAATTCGAATACATTATGCGCGATGAGAGTATCCATTTAGCTTTCGGCTGCGATTTAATTAATACCATCAAAAAGGAAAATCCCCAAGTCTGAACTCCCCAATTTCAAAAAGAAATCAGTGAATTAATTAAAAAAGCAGTTGAGTTAGAAAAGCAATATGCTATCGATGCCTGCCCGCCCGGAATAGTCGGATTTAATGCTCACCAATTTTGCGAATATGTCGAATATATTGCTAATCGTCGCTTAGAAAGGATTGGTTTACCCAAAGAATATTTTGATAAAGCGACAGGCGCGGAAGTTTCTAATCCCTTTCCTTGAATGTCCCAAGCAACAGATTTGAATAAAGAAAAAAACTTCTTTGAAACCCGAGTAACTGAATACCAGGGTGGCGGTTCTTTAAATTGGGATAGCGAAGACGAAGAAATTCGCAAGGGAAAAACTAAATAATTACTTGGTTAAATTCGCTTGTTAATATTCCAAGTGCTGAGGATAACGGGGAAAAGGAATTACGTCCCGAATATTCTCTGTGCCAGTTAAAAACATTAATAACCTCTCTAACCCTAGACCAAAGCCACCGCTTGGGGCGTAACCAAAATTTCTTAAAGCAAAATATCAGGTCAAATTGCCAACATCTAAGCCGATTTTTTGGGCTTTTTCCCCTAAAAGTTGATAATTGTCTTCTCGCATGCTGCCACCAATTAACTCGCCTACTCCTGGAAACAATAAATCAAAGCAAGCTACTGTTTTTTGGTCAGGATTATTTTTCATGTAAAAAGCCTTTAATTCAACCGGATAATTAATAACAAAAACTGGTCTATTATCAAAGTATTGGCAAAGGTATTTTTCGTGTTCTGATTGAAGGTCTATTCCCCATTTAATTTCGTTGTAAACAAAGTTTTTTTTGTTTTTTGCTAATATTTTCAAACACTCGTCATAGTCAAGTCGAGGAAAAGCCAGTTTGCTGATGTTTTTTAGTTCATTAATTAATGCTTTTTGGTGATATTTTTCTAAGCATTCTAGTTCTGGTAAGTTTTTTTCTATTAATTCTTTGATAACGTATTTTAGTAAATTTTCCGCCAAATTAAGAAGTTCGTCAAGGTCAGCAAAAGTCATTTCTGGTTCAATCATTCAAAATTCGGCTAAATGTCGGGTAGTGTGCGAATTTTCTGCCCGAAAACAAGGATTAAAGGTGTAAACTTTCCCTAAACCTTGGGCTAAGGCTTCGGCTTGGAGTTGACCGCTAACCGTTAATTTGGCTTGTTTGCGGAAAAAATCCTTCTCGTATTGCTTATCTTGTCTAGTGGTAACCGTAAATAATTCTCCGGCTCCTTCGGTATCGCTAGAAGTAATTAGGGGGGTGTGAACGTAATAAAATCCTGCTTGCTGGAAAAATTGATGAATAGCCCAACTAACCTGACTTCTTATTTTGAAAACGACCAAAAAGTAATTAGTTTTCGCTCGCAAATGCGGATAATTTCTTACTACTTCTAAGGGAATTGCTTGCTTTTGTAGAGGATAATCGGCCGCTGCGGGATTGACAAATTCCATTTTTTGGGCTCGCAATTCCATTTTTTGGGCTCGGTCAAAAGTTAAGGTTAATTTACCTTTTGCTCTTAAACAACTGCCGAAATTAGCATCTTTTATCTCTTCTGTTAAGTGTGAAGGACAAACAATTTGTAAATTTTGCAAGCACGAACCATCGTTTAGGGTAATAAAACTAATATTTTTGCTTTGCCGAATTGATTTTACTCAACCTTGAACTCTTATTTCTTCCAATTGGCTTAATTTCTGAGTTTCTGAAAAAATTTGGGCAATAGTTAAGAGAGACATTTATATTAAATTTTTGCATAAAACAAGCATTCAGTAGTAAACTAGAAAGGAGGATTAGAAAAAGTCGCTAAAAAACTACAATCTTTAATTTTACAACAGGAACTTATCGCCAACTTTGCTAAAAATTTATATATTCATAACTGAAAAACAAACCAAAAATTACAACAAGCAAATTATTTTTTAAGTTTTGTGCCTTAGATTAGAGTAGTTTTTTTGTGTTTAAATTGTTGGCGGGATTGGCGGAATGGTAGACGCGCCAGACTTAGGATCTGGTGCCTTAAAGCGTGAGGGTTCAAGTCCCTTGTCCCGTACCAATAGCAAAAAGGATTATCGAAAAATTCACAAATCATAAGTAAAAAAAAAAAAAACAAAATTATTAGTCAATTATGAAAATTATCACTCGGCGCAAAAATACCCAAAAGTTCAAAATCATTGGTCGAGCAAAAATTGCTGGTCTCCAACTTACCGGCAACGAAATCAAAGCTATTCGCAATTACCAAATTTCCATTAGTGATGCCTATGTTTTGTCCTATAAAAATGAATTGTTTCTTTACAAAACTTCAATTTCTCCTTATCGTTATGCCAGTTTGTTTTCCAAGAACACTAATGTTAGCCAAAAGCCCCACAAACTATTAATGAAAAAGCAAGAAATTAAACAATTAATCACCCAAATAAAAACTAAACATTATAATTTAATTCCTTTACAAGTTTTTATTAATGAAAGAGGTTGAGCCAAAGCGGAAATCGCCTTGGTACAAAATTTAAAAAAACACCAAATAAAAGAAAACCTTAAAGAAAAAGAAATCAAAAAAAAATTACAAAGACGGGAATATGATTAGCTAACAAGTTTTAGCGCTTATTTTTGAATGCAAGAAAGCAAATTATTTCCCTAAACAAAATTTACTAAAAATGATGTCTAATAATTCTCCGCTATACTCTTTGCCGCTTAATTCTTTTACTAATTTATAGGCTAATTCTAAATCACTACATACGGCATCTAAGTATACTTCTTTCTTTAGTGCGCTAATTACCCCCTCTAATTGTTGAATAAGTCGCGTTAATTTAGCCTGTTGCCAACTTTGACTGAAAACTGGATAAGTAGGCAATTTATTTATTAAATCACTAGCAAATAATTCGTTAATTTTTGTTGCCAATTCGGTTATTTGCTGCTTTTTGGCACTAATTCGCAAGACTTTTTCCGGAGAAAGAAAAGAAGGGAGTTGTAATTTACTTAATTTATCTGTTTTATTAGCAATAAGCCAGTAATTTTTTTCCTTAACTTTTTGGTAAATATTCTCGTCTTCTTTGCTTCATGGAGAGGAATTGTCTACCAAAAAAAAGATAATTTCGGCTTTTTCTAAGGCTTGCAAACTTCTTTTTACTCCAATTTTTTCGACTATGTCTTGGGTTTCGTGAATGCCGGCTGTATCCAGTAAGGTTAAAGGAATTCCTTGGAGATTATAATGGGCTTCTACTATGTCCCGAGTGGTGCCCGCAATTGGCGAAACAATGGCTTTTTCTTCTTGTAGAAGAGCATTTAAAAGCGTAGACTTGCCAACGTTCGGCTTGCCAACTATGGCTACTTTTAAACCTTCCTGGTAAACGCGAATTTTTTTACCGCTTTCTTTAATTTCCTTTAATTTTTTTTCTAATTTGCTTAGACGAGACAAAACTTTTTTGCCAGTTAAGTATTCTACCCCGTCATATTCAGGGTAATCAATATTGACTTTAATGGTGGCAATCATTGCTAGTAGTTCATTCTCAATAAAATCTAATTCTTTTTGGCTTTCGGGACTTAAATTGTGGAGGGCTAACTTTGTTCCTTCCAAACTAGGAGCCCGAATTAAATCATTTATTGCGTTGGCTTGAATTAGGTTTAATTTGCCATTAAAAAAAGCTTGCTTAGTAAATTCGCCTTCCTTGGCTAATTCGGCACCATTCTCCAAGATTAGTTGTAATATTTGGTTAACAATGAATAAATTACCGTGGCAACTAATTTCTATGACGTCTTCTCCGGTAAAAGAATGAGGCTTATAAAAACACAAAAGCAAAACTTGGTCGATGATTTCTTTATTTTGGTTAATGATGTTGCCAAAGGTTAATTGTGGTTTTTTTTGTGGATATTCTGGCAAGGGACGGTCAAAAAATTTGCTAATTAGGCTATAGGCTTCCGAACCTGATATTCTAATTAAAGCAATATTTTGGGTAATTGGAGCAGTAGCCAAAGCCACGATGGTCTTTTCACTAAACATAGATTAAATTTTTAACTTAATTCACAAAAAACTAACTTCCTTTCTTCAGAACAGCCTGCGGGCAAACGACCAATTTCGGATCTATTTTTTTGAGAACGGAAAAGTTTGCCCGGTAGAGTTGGCTGATTGCCATAATAAAACTTCATTTAATCCCAAGTTCCCTACTAGGGAATATAGGCTCTATTTATCATGTTAGCCAGGACTTAAAGGGATTTTTTGTTCCCTAAAAAAGGAAAAATTTAACCCAAATTAGTTTCATTAACAATTGGCGTTTTTTTAGTATTGTTCGCAAATTACTATTGTCCCGTTTGGGAAAAGAGAAATTTCTCAGAGAAATTGCGGGCTTTTGTGCGAAATTAAAGGATTTTTTGCTTATATATAGGAGTGATTTTTGCCTTTCTTTTTTTCTTTAACCTTTGGGTTTTATAAGATTTTTTTATAAGTTATAAACTACCCTTTTAATAATAAAAATCAAGTAAAAGAAATTAATTTATATTATCTAGAATCTAATCAATCTAATGAGCTAGCTGTCGCTAATTATCCTAATTTAAAGGAAATAACAAGTTATGGATATAATAACATTACCAACCTCACCAAACTAACCATCACTAATTGTTACCAATTAGAGAAAATAAGTATTAGTCCCCTTGAAAACTTTCAACAATTAACCTTAAATATTTTACCTAGTCTAAAGGAACTTAATTGTTCTGGTAATCAACTCACTCAAATTAAACTACCTCAGGGAGAAAAGCTAGAATATTTAAGTTTAAGCAATAACAACCTCAAACAAGATTTATCTTTTTTAAGTGGTTTGGTGGGTTTGAAAATATTGTATTTAAGTAATAGTCCCTTGTTTGGTAGCTTAAAGTATTTGAAAGACATGAGTGGGTTATGAAAACTTAATATTAGTGATACTGATATCGATAGTGGATTAGAATATTTACCAGATAGTGTTTGAGAATTTGATTGTTCAACCGATAAAAAAAAGAGGTTAAATGTCAAACTATTGCCAATTTATTCGCTAACGAGGAAGGAGAAGTAGAAACAGATTATGATGGAATCAAAAATTTCCCCCAAAAGTTTCAAGTTTATAAACAAAAGTCCCAAGTTAAAGCTCAAATAGAAAAAGAACTAACTTCTAGCAATATTGCTTCTGAACAACTAACTGAACAACTAGCCAAGAATAAAAATCTAACTGAATTTGCCAATACTTGACAAAAATATTTAGAAACTGCTCAAACACCAGAAAAGTTGAATAATCGAAAAGACAGTATTCTAGCAATTATTAATACAATAAAAGAATTATCGGACAGAAAAAATGAAATCCAACTTCTCAAAAAACAACAAAGCCTCTTTGCCGAAAAAGAGCAACAAATCAATTACCTCGAACTTCGTGTCCAAGAATTAACCAATCTAATCAAAACTCAAAAACAAAAGATAATTCAAGACTTTTTAAATATTCTTCCCGAAAAAGAACTAATTCAACAATTAATCACTACTTATTTAGAATTCAAAAAGGCTGAAAAGCAAAAACTTCCCTCCCTTAAACTCAAAAAGCAAAACCAAAGAATTGAGGATGAATTAATAGAGAAGCTCGGAGAAGAATTTGTCGAAAATCTTCAACCAATTTTAAGTGATTGTGAAAATTTAGTTAATTGAGAATTAGAATTAGAAGAAAGATTAAAAGGCAAAACTTTCTTAATTAAAGAACAAAGAAAATTATTAAAAATGAATAGTGGCAAAGAAGAAAAAGAATTAGTCAACAAGCACGAAAAAACCAGTCAAGAACAAATGGAAAAATTCCAAGAATTAAAAATAGAAATGGCTGAAATGAAAGGACAATTAGCAATGATAAAAGATAGACCTCAGCAAACTATTAATGTAGAAGGAGGTCATGTTTTAGTTGGCAATCACATGGGAGATAATACCAATCTTTCTCATGCTATTCAAGCACAAGCTGAACAACAAGCACTCCAAGTCCAACCAACTAACCAACCTTACGGCACACCAGGCTCAAGCAAAAACTAACCCCTAAACCAACCACAAAAACTATTTACTCAAATATTCTGCTAGATTGCTTGACTTTTCCTTTGCCGAGG